ACTTTTGGGATGAGCTTGTGAAGCAAGACAGAACATGATGAAAGTAGATAATACGGAGTGCTCGTGGAAAACATCTTTGAAAGGAGATCGTGTTGCTTCAACAGCAACCAACTCCTAATCTCCTAGAATCAAATATTTACCCATGGATATGTAGACAGGAGGGAAAGTCCTGGAAGTCGTAACTGACCTTAGTTAAGTCATGTAACAGTCTAGAAGTCCTAGCGTGGTGTATAGAGGAGGAATCTCACCTGACTTTCTATCTGAGCACAGTTTAGAAGCTTCTGAGGCTTGGCAAAGGTGACCAAGAAGGAAACAAGCCAGTTCTGCTTCTGGTGTGGCCCATTTCTGTCTGGTTCTGGGAGCTGGCTGCTGGATAAGGACGCTGTCCAGTAGCCTTAACTGAGATCAGGCTGCTTTTATTTTTCTGAGTCCACTGACTACACAACATCCAAGCTGTATGTCTCTCATTGAAGAGGCTGCTATCTAAAAACACTGTAGAAGCTTATATTTTTTAAAAATCTTTTTGTACTGCAGCTCACAGTACTGGAGGTTGTGCGCGGCGGCTGGCTGGCCGCGCTGAGAAGTCGACGTGCCGGACATAGCTGCTGCGCGTAGCCATGGGGCTCTTTCTGCTTAGTCATTTTGTTGACGCTGTTTTGCTTTTGGATTTGTCAAAGTCTCTTGGCTTCCATAAAGGCAATTTTAGTCAGTGTGGGAACATCGGTAGCTTAGTGTAAACTAAACACTGAAAACTGGAAGCTCAGCTCATGGTCCTGTGTTGGCTCAAGTTTAAGGCAACAGTAACTTAGTTTGGGTTTACTGAGAGCGAAGCCGCTGGAGAAGCAGCGAGCTCTGGCCTTGCCAGGTTATGTGGGAGGCTGCCCGTTAAAGTCTGCTCTGGTTTTAAACAGCTCTGTCCGACTGCGGGCCTGCTGTCCTTCGTGCCTCCCAAATCAGGTATGGATTCAGCAGTGGGATTGAAGGAACTAAAGGCCAAAATAATTTCTAAGCCGGCCATAGGATTCTTTGCCCGGTATGTGGCTCCTGGCACTTACCCAGTCTTGGACGGCCGTAACTCTCAGCTGCTGCTCAAGCTCCAAGGCACCTGACAGTGCTCCTGGAGCAAATGTAAGAATCTCTTCCCTCCCTTTCCCTGTCCCCCACCCCCTTCCTTCCGGGGAAGAAAAATTTCCCTTACATAAACCACCAAATGCAAAGAAAGCCATTCTAAATATTAAACCTTAGTGCATACATGTGTAGTGTGTGCTACATAATGGTAGGGAGAAAGCTGTACTTAATTTTTTGTGTAGAGATGATGGGGATTTTTTGAGTATATACAGGTGTATATTTAAAAAAAAATACATGATCTCTCTGGCTAAGTAAGCCTCAGAAGTTGACAAATAACCTTTAGAGGGATATGGTTCTTCGTAGATGTGCTACACCCACCTGCTAGCTCTCCTCTTCAGGAGGGCTCTATAGAGGAGCAGCACGAAGGGCTTGTTCCTCCTCCCCAGCCTTTGCAAGGCGGGTGGGATTGAATCCTTTGCAGTAGGATCCGTGTCCCTGCCGGGACTTGCGCAGTCCCCAGGTGGTTAACGGCTTCAGCGGTTGGGAAGTGACAGACGGAGCAGGTGGCTCCTTGTCTTGTGACTGGAGGCCCTGCTCGCTCGGCAGCTTCACCCCGCGTGGGGCATCTGCCGCGGGCCCGGCCATTGCATCAGCCCTCGCTCGGAGCTGGGGAAAGGTTTCGCCGAGACCCAAAGAAAGATGAGCATTTCTGCTGGCCAGCCTTTCATGTGCGGCATTGGCTCTGTCCAGGGGGGAAAGGAGCAGGAAAAAGGGCAAAATAATGAGGAGGAGGGAGAAAAAGAACAAAGAAAACAGCTAAACTGGGCTTCAGCATTCACCAGCTTTAGCAAGCAGCTCAGAGCTACCCAGTGTCAAGCAGCTGAGGATGGTGTGGGTTGTGTATGTGGTTTTTTTTTTTTCCTTCTACATCCCAATGTAAAACTTCACAGAGTGAGTTGTTGTTGCTGCTTTCCTTTTTCTTTTTTTTTTTCCCTCTCCCTTTTATCTAGTCTTCACTTTAGCATTTAATGAGCTCTCTTATCCAGCTTATCTGTATAATTTGCCTGGGGTTATTCTCTCTAATTCTCCTGGAGAAAGTCCTGGAGAAGGTCCCCACATTGCAGGACAAGTAACTTGAGCTTAAAGCCTTGTTTTATCTTAAGCTTCAGGGGTGGGTTATTTTGTAAGCAGTAACGACTATGCTTCAGCTACTGCTGCTGTAGGGAGGGAAGAAAGGAGAAAAATCCCAGCTTTTTATAAGAAGCAAATGATACTATCTTCAGTAAAAGTAGCCACTCCATAAATTGGCTTTTTGGCAACACCCCTGTTTCCCTGACGGCTATAACTGAAGATTTTTGTCAATGGCTGTCCCCTCCATGCAGTTCCAGGCTTTCTGTGTTAGTAGATTTGGCATCCAGCAATCTCATTCTTTCTCCCCAGATTTTCCACAATGTCGTGCTGCGAGGTCTTAACCATGAGTCAGAATATGAGCATTGGGTTTCATTGGGCCTATGTGAAAAATGTGTGAAAGGACTTGAGGGTAAGGAAGAGCTCTTATTTTGAGGCTGGGGCAGATGTAAAAAGAAATGGAAATAGCACAAATCCAAAGGGGGAAAAAAAAGTGCATGTTGGGCTTCGGAATAGCCCATGTGGATGGACGGGGGTATGTGGATAGACAGAAGCATGCTGAATTTTTCCTAAATTTGACCTTTGCCAGACCTCTTTGTCTTATTGGTGAGAAGTGATAACTGGTGAACAGTAAGGAAGCTGAGAGCAGCTTGAGCTTTAACAGTTTATGCACAGAACTTGACCTAAGCAGGTTATGTCTTTTTAGGAGAAAAAAAATCCCCTCTGCACAAGCAGTAGACAATGTATATGTAACTATACATGAAAAGGGAGGATGTACTCAAGTATAACACGGTAGGTAGCACTCCTCATGTGTGTTGCTGAAGGGAAACCTGCAGCAGGGAGGTAGTAATGTGGGGAGCTGCAGCCCCTTCAGCAGCAGCTACCATTAAGCGTTAGTTCTGGTGTCATGTGGTGCCCTTACCTGTTTTCTGTCGCTTTCACCAAAACATCCCTAGTTTATGCTGTTCCAGTGGTTTGTGAGGCAAGAACTGACCTCCTCAGCAGAAGTGAGGTCGTATTAAATCTCTTGGTTAAGAAATTTGTGTCTTGGTTAATTATGCTGATAGGACTCTTCTTTTGGGCACTGTCTTTTGAAAAAGAAAAAAAAAGAAAAAGGAGGGGGGGAAGGGCATTATTTGGACCCGTTTCTTTCTTGCTGTTTTCCACCTTGCAGAGTGAGTAGTCAGCTTAGTAGAATTTTGAACCACCACTGAGCTACTTCTGGGAAAAGCCCTTCCAGGGAACCCCCAGGCAATATTCCTGTCATCTACCTAACTATGACTGCTGTTCTGAGAGTTCCCATCTTCTCCTCAGCTTTGGACTCAAAAGTTTAGGGCTTGGATAGATTCTTGTGGCTTTGCTTGAACCATGCTTTGAATGGTTGAATTCCTGAGTGCCTAAAGGTACCTACAGACTTGCTGGCAAATCAGTTTGGATTTTGCTGGCAAATGAGAAGACAGTAGCCACCTTCCTGTAAGGTGAAGTCCTCTCCTGAGCTGAGGAGGACCTTCTAGGCATCTCCAAAATGTAGTGCCGAGCAAGAGTGGCATTTTATGCTCGTCCTATTTAATCTGCACAGAAGGAACGCATAGATTAGCTACAGAAGCATATGTTGATATCTTTAAATAACTGCAGTTGCATAATGGCTAATAAAAATAAGAGCAGTAGTAATTCTCTAAAGGGGGGGGGGGGAACCCCACTTATTCTGGGGGAAAAAGAAGCAGCCCAAAACAAAACTGACTTGTTGAAGGAATAACTTCTTCCCTCTCTCCCATCCTAAATCTCAAAGATTAATAAGGACTTCATACATACTGTTCAAATGTTAAATTAAGAATTTCAACTTGGTATCATTATGGTATTTAAATTTCTCTTCGACTTGAAGCCGTTGGTTAAAAGATGACATCTCCTCTCCTTTCTCCTTCCCCACCTCTCTCCCAGTTGCAGTTTTAGGCAGAACTACTTTGATCTCTTCGTTTCCAGATTTTACTGCTCTCACTGGGAAAGCCTCCAAACAAGCTTAGAGGAATCTGCAGCTAGGTCTGACTTTTGCACAGTGATTGACAGATGTGCTTTCTACCTGGCAGCAGCCTGTAGTGATCTAAAGTCCTATGTTGCTTATCATTAGTAGAAAAAGGTTCTTTTTTTAAATTAAAAAAATAACTCTGTATAGCTTGTTTTTATCTGATATTGAGTTGCCACCTTCTAGGCTCACTATGAATAGAGTATTTCAGAATATATGGAATCATTATCCCCGAAAGCCCTGGGCACATGTCACAAGTGGTTGATTTTTAGACTCTGAAAATATTTAAGGGAAGCAGGATGTTAGTTTAAAAATATAGTGTGACTTTGTCCTTTTTTTTTTCTCTTTCCTACTCTTCACAGCACAGCTAAAATGTATTCTATTTTAATCTGATTCCTCAGTGTTCTTGTAGTATGTTATTTTTAATTGTGGAAAATCTGTGTTTCTGACTTGCAGGCACTTGGTAGCTAGCGCAGGAGCTCTCATCCTCGGGTCCCGCGTTCTGTTTCTCAGCCTTTCTGAGACAAGTGAACTTCGGTTCGTGATGGACTTGGCAAATAGCTCCGGAGTTAGCCCGTGTGTCTCCGCTTAGACAATGTGCTGTTGTGTGTGGTAGGGAGCTCAGGATACTCATGCAGACCCTACGTCCGTCGGTAGGCACCAAATCATTGTGAATCATGAGCTTTTTTTGTTTGCTTTTCTTTGGCTGCCTGTAGAGACATGGAGAAAATCAAATGCATATCGGAGACGCCTAAAGTCATTCTTAAATTTTTTTTCTACACAGAGCTCAACAAAAATCCAGTGGAAGGCTTTTCAGCGGGCTTAATAGATGACAATGATCTTTATCGATGGGAAGTCCTTATTATTGGTCCTCCAGATACACTATAGTAAGTACTGCTACTTGTACAGAAACTTGAGCAAACTCTGATTTACTAGTTCTAGTTTGGTTTAAGCGAGCAGAAGATAACCTAAGTCTCCATATTGAGTAGTGTGTAGATAGCTAAGTTAGGTAATGCTGTTCTGTTGCTAGTTAAGTATTTGTAAATGGCAAAATCTGCCATATAGAAGCTCTAGATTGCTTTGCTACTCCGGGGAGAAATGCTACGCAGATCCCTTAGTGTACTGCTGTAATCATGGGAAAGAATAGAGTGTGCTAGGAGAAAACTTGGGCTTTCTGTGCCTTTAAGGCAGATGTACCCAGGCTACTGTCCTTATTGCTCTGAGGTTCTAGGTCAGCCACTCGTGCAAACCTAAACCACTCCTACTTGGTGCTGGTGATTACAGGAAAATACTCACCAGAGGGGTGTAGTTCTAAAGCTGCAGCAGGCTGTGGAATTAGCCTTCAAGTCAGGATGTCTTAGCCTCCGTAAGTGATAACTCCCTATAGGAGAGCTTTCCCATGTGACAGGAGCATGTTAATGCTGATCAAATTTGAATTGTTGGGAAACCTCATCTTAAAAGCTTTAATTGTTCCTCTTAAAACTCTTTACTTGGGTCCTCTAATTGGAATTTGAACACAAAATCACGAAGCTCACTCAGTCCTGTCTCCTTCTGGAGTCAACACTGGCTCTGCTCATGCAGCTCTATGTTTCTGAAGCACTGTGGTATGTGCAGTGTGATTCGTTTCTTCACAGGGAGTGGGCAAAGGCTTTAGCTAATTGAGAGAGTGATTTGTCTCATCCTCAGAGCTTCTGTGTGATTGTCTCTCCTTACTCCTGGGAAAGATTTTATGCCTAAAAGAGGTCAGTTTAAAGTGTGCCTCTTCAAGACGAACCATTCTCCCGTGTTAAGCTGTTCCACTGGTAAAGTGCTGATACAAAGAGCCTTCTAGTGGTTTTTACTGGAGGTCAGTTCTAGTTGTCATGACACCAAGTTGTCATATTCCTTCATTTGTAAGCTTTGAAGTAAATAAATGCAGAAACGGGGTGCTTTGCTTCTTGAGCTTGCTGTGTTGTGCTCCTCAAGTCTTTCACGAAACAAATCTCCAACTTCAGGGTCTGTGACCTCTTGTGAACAGCCTATTAGTGAGCCATTATAGTCAGGCTGTTTTATACTGTCAGCAAACACATACTGCTGCTAGTAGAGCTTTTTCCTTGTATATCTAAGTGTTGCAGTAGCATGTATGGAGGTGTGTGTGCTGTTTGGTGTTTACTTGCTGGGTTTTACTCCTCCTTTCCCCCACCCCAGCCCAGGTGCAGAGCTTGTTTTGAGGCTTTGACCTAGGAAGCTCTCCGCTGTTCCAGTCCTTAGTTGCTGTTTTCCAGGGTAGTAATACACTGAATTCTCCCTTCCTGATCTATTCTACTGTGGCAGTAGAACAGAATATTCTAGTTTTAAACAGGGAATCTGCTTTTTTTAACTTTAGCCTCATTCCTTTGGACTTGGTAAATGGTCTTTTGGGACTACTGTGTCGGAAATGCTGCTAAAAAATGTCACTGATATCTCTTGATTGACAATTACACTTTAACTGCTCCTTTAAGAAGGGAAGGGGGAATTTTTTTTTTTTTTAACCATGAGAGAAAGATTTACTGCTTTAAAGCTATCAACACATGTAATCTAACTCTCCTTTATCTTAACTAGTAGGACTGTTAAAGTAGCCAGTCTTATTTCTGGGATTCTTGGCCTTACCAGGAACAAGAATTCTCTGGAAACTGCCAGACTTTCTGAAACTTGTGGAAAATGAATGCTATTGGTTCACATCCCCTCAGCTGCCCTCTTCCAAGAGCCAAGTCATTTAGACTCGGTCATCTATTTATTTGTTTGTTTTTGTAGAGATGAGACACATGCTAGAATTGCACATTTTCCTTCTTGCTGGTGGTAAGACTTTTGTTATTTTCTCAGTAGCCTGTGGGTTTCGAATCCTGGCTCCTGCTCCGTTACAAACACAGAAAAGATAAATGCACTGAGCAGCTTTTTTTCCTACCGCAATTCTTTGTGTGGCCACCGAGGAGTGGCCCGTCCTACTGCACCACATCTCGCACTGCATTCTCCAGAGCTCGTGCTCCAGTTCTCATAATCCCTGCCTCTGCAGTTTCCAACGTGGTTATAAACTTCTGTCACGAGAAACTACAATAATAGGACAAATGTTAAAAGGCTTTATTTTTAATACAGGCCTTCCTGCTTCTCAAAGTGAATATTGCTGGATATTGAAACCTCACTATTTAAATAAGTCAGTTGCCTCGGTTAAGTATGTGCTTCCCACATGAGAACTGAGTATCTATTGTTTATTATTGTTCTCCAGTTTGGTGGGAAACTTCTCACTGTCATGTTTGAGTCGCCTAGCAAAGTGCTGAAAAGGTAGTACTGGCAGCTTTTAAAAAATAGTGCTCGAGGTGCAAGGAAGGTTTCCTGTATCTCTTTATTGAGGCTTATTGCTACAGATCCAGAGCAAGAGAGGAGAACTGATGAAAGTGTCCTAAAGGAAGAATAGAAGTGGGTATCTGCTGGGCTCTACTGTGTTCTCAGTAACAGGAATTGTTGGCAGACCTTTAACAATAAAAAAGTAATAAATGCAGTAGGAAAAAAACTTAAATTGTAATTCCAGATAGTGATTTTTTTTTTTGTGCATTTGCTTTTGCTCTGGAACATCATCCTAATTCTAAAAAGGAAGCAAGTGTTAGGGAACTGGCAGTATCTTGTGAAAGGATCTCAATCTAGAAACTCTTCGTGTTACATATGAAAATACTGCTACTGTAAATTAGCATCATGGTATGAAGCTGGGTGAGGGATAAACCTGAAGATGTTGATGCATCATTAAGTTCCAGCCTTCAACTCAAGCTTCCAAGAAACTCTACTAAGATATTTTTGATTCCCCAGTGAAGGTGGTGTTTTCAAGGCTCATCTTACTTTTCCGAAAGATTATCCACTGAGGCCGCCAAAAATGAAGTTCATCACAGAAATCTGGCACCCAAATGGTAAGAAATGCTAAAGTTTCAATTTATTTTGCAACTAAGTGTTGTGAATAAAGATTTCTGGCTTTATTTTCAGGCCGGAAATATGAAACTCTGCATTTACTTTGTCTTCACCTCAAAAGGTAGTAGTAGCCATTGCAGAGTTTTTTTTTAAAAAAAAAAAAACCTCTGATCTAAGAGTCTGCTCCTTAAGTGTTTCTACTAGCTTTCTGAAATTGTAATAACTCTAGAGGGTTTTTTTTATATGTATGTAATGCAAAAATCTGGTCTGAGAAGCTTGATTTTTCTAGCTGCTATCTATCATGTCACCAAGTACTTCATCTTCCTTTACAATTTGGTGGTTCAGTATCAAAGGCCACGTTTTGTCTTCCGTGCATAAAGTAACAGCATCTTTTTAGCTTCTCTGAAGACGATTCCTGCTAAAGCTTCATTTGTTTCTGAGCTGCTGGACATAGGTGGAAAGGTAACGTAAAACAGAAGAAGGTTTTTACGGGGAAAGCGGAAGGCTCTGCAGGTTTTAAAGTCAGCATCTGGACTTGGAAAGCCAAGAGGAGACCAGCACAATGCTGATCTTAAAGAACAGAGGATATTCTGCTACTGTATCAGTTCAGCCTTAAATATCAGAATAGTTGTTGGGCAGATTCCAGTTCCAGCAACTTAAATTATATTCCAGTTTACTGCAGTAATATTCAGATGATGATTTTGCTGTGAGACAAAAAAAATTCACCCTCTGATTTACTAATCTTACCAGAAGGATGTTGTAGTGGAGCCTGTCTTGCAAGGTCTAAACTGGTGTCAAAATTAGTCCTTTCTCTGCCCACCCGAAAACTCTAGATCAGAATAACTGACCAAGCCTCACTTCTTGGAGACTAAATTCTTTAGCAATTAATTACTTTCCTTTTTTATTTGATTATTTTTTTCTTTTTCATAAAGTCTCTTCCTTGGCTTGTCTGCAGAGTAGCTGGAATGAAAGTTAATGATTCCCTAACTAGCCTGAAGAAATGCCAGCATGTTGTTCATTACTGAAATATGTCTTGTTCTGTTTTGTAGTTGACAAGAATGGTGACGTCTGCATTTCGATTCTTCATGAGCCTGGAGAAGACAAATATGGCTATGAAAAACCTGAGGAACGCTGGCTTCCCATCCACACAGTGGAAACTATAATGATTAGTGTAATTTCTATGCTGGCGGATCCCAATGGTGATTCTCCTGCTAATGTTGACGCAGCGGTAAGACTTTTCTTGGTCTGCACATGGTACAGAAGGTTAAACCTCTTTACACAGTTTCACTTCTAGTGCAACAGCAGGTGCAGTAATTTTTGGAAGAATCTTTTATAACTAAGCTATTACTGAGAAATTACTGAGAAGAGTCCATATGCTGTGAAACATAATTACTAGTTAGGCCTGGTATAACTAATGAAGTACATTTAAGTTTCTTTCATATAGGCTACAAGGTACAGATGCTGTCAAACTTCATAGACAGTAACTTAATTTCTCCTATGCAGGAGAAATTTATGCATTTATTCGGAGTAAGTTCGTGCTCACAGGGTACCTACCAATAAATTTTAGCTCCTTTCATCTTGGAAAATTCAAGGAAGCCGCTTGTGTGAGGTATGCAGTTACCAGTTCCAACAGCTGTTAAGTTTAGCTGCAGAAGTCGGTACATTCTAAAACTTGTTTTGATTCCCAGTGTTACTTGTTTAGTGTATTAAAAGCTTTGAGTAAGAAATCATACGAGTTGCTGATTCTGCTGTCTTGAATAGAAAGAGAAAATGCAGTGGGGACCTCAGTACAACCATAGTACGATTCTCCTGTGCTTGCCTCTGTAAAGCAGTGCTGTAAAATCTCAGATTAAAGCTCTGGGTTTGACTCTGTAAATCTGTAAGTTGAGGATGCAATTGGAGGCTTCATTGGACATCTGGCCTTCAGCATTACCCTTGACGTGAGCCTCTTGCTGAGGAGAGGGGCAGCAGCATGGATTAGAGACAGGAAAACAAAGGGAATTTACAGTGCAGACTTCTGTCATTAGGGAGACACAAATGTTCCATGCAAAATAGTGTTTATGGAGTGTGCCCTATGCTAGGGGTTGTATAAATGCATCTTTCGATTATCTGAAAGAGTTTCTTTTATAGCAGAATAGCAGGCTAATAGGTGTTTGTGTTGGGGAGGGAAGAATTCTCAGCATTGAGACTTGCTACTGTTTTGTTTCTTTCAGTTTTGGCATGTAGCTCAGCAAAGGCGAACAAATGCAGTACTGTTATGGAGAAGTTAGGGGGTATTTTTATTTTCTTGTTTTTGTGGGTGGTTTTTATTAGACTTGGGAGAGTGATGAAAAGGGAGGTGGTAAGCAGAAGGTGTGAAGGTTACTAGCACCAACTTAACCTGCTTTGTTGAACTAGCTAAACCTTCCTAAAGTGGGCAGGAGTTTAGTTTCCTGGCAGCTTTGATCTGCAGTGCTGCTAGTAATTCCAGAGGTGGTTGAGCTCCTCTGGAAAAAAAATAACAGTGGAAATTGTCTCATGCCAAACAAAGCTCATGGGGCGGGGAGGAACTAAGTAGTAGTGAAGAAGTCCTCCTTTAACGTCCTCTTTTGTTTCAAGTTACTGGTGGAAACAAATATCCAGGACATTTGAGTGCTTCCTGCTGGCAAACCTGAGTGTGCTGGGAGGAGCAATGTATTAATGAAATGCTAAAAGTGCAATTGGAGTTGCTGTTTGTAAACTCTGTGTTGAATGTATGTATGAAATGTGTGTTGAATGTTACTGACCTAATACTGGAGAAAGGTGGTATTTTTAGCTATTCTTATCACCCTCTTGACATCATATCTTTTGTAATCTTTTCCTGTAGTTGCCAGGAGGACAGGGGTACAAGACTTAAGGGTCACTTTTTGGCTGAGTGATAGACGTTATGTGTAAAGCTACTCATTTTAAAGGAGTTGTAAGCTTACTCACTGGTGAGTAGGTCTCAGAGCATTATGTTGAAAGTTAAGAGATCTTAAGGAAATGCAGCATCCCCTACCCCAGCTTGAAGGAACAAGAACTTAAATCCATCTCGGACTGTGAGGATGATATTGAGACATCAGTAATGTCATGGATGCTAGTGACAACAGCAGTGTAAGAGTAGGGAGTAAAAACACTTGCCTCATAGAAAACTGAACAACGTGTGTGGCAGTGTTGTTCGTTGGAGTGGGGGAAAAGTACAGGGACAGGAGCCTGAACAGACACTGCCAGAGGCGACTAGAACAGTTCATGACCTGAGTTTTGGAGAGGTTGCTGTCAAATTGGGAACATCACTTGCCATTCAATTCTGAACACTATTTCACAGAGCTACGAATCTAAAAGGCAGAAGCAAAACTGAAATATCTGAAGCTGAGAAGGCGTGAACTCGAAGCTTTTCTTGGCCTTATGCCCTCTTGCATAAACTGCCCTGTGTCTCCCTCCAACAAACCAAAAGCTTGCTGTATTAATTGCTGGCAAAGGAGAACAAGTTAATTAGTAGCATTTTTTTTGTGCGTTTGGTAGACCAAAAGAAAAGAGAGACCTGCTGGACTTGTCAAGATGGTGACAGTGGCTAGGTGAGGTTTGAGGTGATGGATGTTAGGATGTATCAGCTACCACTATTTTCTTTGGCTCAAATATCTGCATCTTCTATGCGGGGTATGAAGGAGTTCTGCCTACTATGTGATGGAAAAACTAAACATGCAAATGTTGCTTATACCGAAAAACTAGCATCTGTCCAACCTAGTACAGTTCACCTCATGAACTTTTTTTTTCTCTACTAGTTCAGTGTCAAACTCTAAGGTAGTATCCAATGCATCAACCCGAGTCACATTTTTGTGATGTTCGTGCACTTTATTCTGAGCTCTCTCAGATAAAGTTAACTTTTATAACCTATAGACTTTATAGATTTGGGTCTATAGACTGTTGCTTGTAGAGCAAAATGGAACAAATGGATTTTAGTCTTGATGTTGGGAACTGCTTATGTAAGACCTGTGCACAACCCAGAGCAATCTCTGCCATCTAAACCCTGAATGTCATAGGTATTTAGTGACTAGCTTAATCACTGTAAACAAATTTAAATGTTGGTTGGATGGTTACTCTCTGCAAACATAAACACCTAGATTCTTCCTAGAACTTATACCTTGTTGTAGCACTGACCTCTGAAGGCTGTCTGTTCAATTACAGAAAGAATGGAGAGAAGACAGGAATGGAGAATTCAAAAGAAAAGTTGCCCGCTGTGTAAGAAAAAGCCAAGAAACTGCTTTTGAGTGACACTTATTCAGCAGCTAGTAGCTTCACTTTTTTTCAGGGTGAGTAATCTTCTGAAATAGTCAATGATCTGAGTTGAATGCTTTCTGGATTAGGTGATTGTTGCTGAGCTCAGTTTTTTATTTTTGAAAAGTAACCCAAAACCCCACAACCTTCTTTTAACCAGCTTGATTGTAGTACATTTCTTTGGCTGCATTTTACACTAAATATTTCATGGTTAAGGAAATACTTGAGTTTTGCAGTACAGTAACAGCCCCCTCTGCCTATGCTGTGGAGCTTTACTCGTACGCTTACACTCCTGAGAAGTGAAATTCTTTTTATCAGTATTAGTATTGCTTTATTAAACACTTAGGGACTTCTGGTTCTAATTTAGAAGAGAATATTCCTTCATTCATGTTCATTATTGTGAAGATTCCTTATTTGAGTCTTAAGCATTTTGTTTGTCTTATCTCAAGTTCATACACATGGAATTTCTCTTGCAGATATTGGTGGCACGTTTGCAGGCTTTAACTGAGGTTTTGGTGAAGTTGTTGGGAAGCTTTTTAGAAAGAATTGCTTCACATATCCAGGGGAAGGCTTACTTACAAACAAACAAGCTGTGCTAGGATGTCAAAGAGAATGATTTGAGATGTTATCCGTAATTACCATCAAAAAAGGTTGTATTCTCCTTAACAGACCCAAATAACTTAATGTTCCTGGGAAAGTCTAATTATAGTTTCAGGCCAAACAGTCAGATTATGCATGAAAACTGAACTGTGGCACATCTGAGAGCCTCTACCAGTTTTGTCCTGAGAGTAGCTGATTGATTGTATTTATACCTTTTATTCCCCGATAAAATGAGCTCCTGACTCAAGGTATTTACTATAACTCGAAAAATGCCATCCTCTTAATAGTTTTTTTTTTCTCCTACAATAAATTCTCGTAGAAAGCTCTGATTGCAATATGGCCCTTAAACACGTGGCCTATGTGTGCTTTATTCTTTAGCATGCCAAGTTTAACTTCGTCGGTTGCTCATCTCCTACCTGTGCTCTTCAGAGCAAACCTTCATTGAAGCTGCCCTCTTAATGGCAAATCAACTACTGTGACCCATTGGGGAAAAACCCCCAAATGTATGAACGTCTGTATTAGGTAGTTTCAGCATACAAAGGTGGGGAGGGGGAAGTTATGACTACCTGTAACTCAATGAGATTTTGCTGTCTAAACCACTAAAATTATATTAACTAAAATGCTCCTTTTAGGTAACACCTTGGTGAAGAAAAAGAAAGGTATAGGAGTTAGATTCTCTATCTCTTATGCTCTTGTAAGAATTAGTTCTGTCAGGGAGGGAGGGGAGAGGGTTCTATTTATAACAAGCTGGTATTACAACTCTTAAATGAAGTAATGCTTTGATTGAAATGAACTTTTTCCAGTATAGAGAAAGCATGAGGAGTGCTTAGTGTTTACCCAAAGACCAGGCAAAGGAGCAGAATCTCTTAGCCAGCTGTGCAAAACTCCACTGGAAGAATTGGTAGTGCAACCGAATTTTTCCCTCTTTTAGAAAAAGAGGGAGTATCTGAGAGAGACGCTCCAGAGTCTCCTCAGTTGACCTTAATTTTCGTGCCATATTAAAGTTGGCCATGGTGAAAGCACGTTCGTGACACATACTGAGTATTGATTTCTGGAAGGCAAAATCTTTTCCGAGTCTCGGAGACTGCTCCGAAATGAGTGATGTGAGGCAAGTTGGATGAGAAGTGGGTTTCAAGTAAGAGTCTGCTTTGGTAGCTGTGGTATTCAGCAAAGCTGTGGCATTTTGTACTGTGCTTTGCTGTTCGGTCAGCATCTGTTGCTCACATTAAATGAGGTATAAAATGGTAAGTCTTAGTGTGTTGCACTGAGCTTGAGTAATGAAACTTTATACGCTGCATTTGACAAGTTACTTAAAAGTGATAGGAGCTCAGAAGTGTGATATTTGAGCTCAGATACTGCACTAATTCAGAGCTTCACTAATTCAAATCTGTGATGATTTTGAACTTATGCATCTTCTACTTAGAGGTATGTAAAGTTTTTGAGCAAGTTTTAAATATCTTTAATCATAAACACTAATGAAGGTCTTAGAATAATTAAGGATTGTGAGGGGGTTTATTTTAATGAATTTGATTTCTTCGTAGGTCTTCAATTGAGAAACATGGCACTGTTTTTTTCCTGCACTCTACCCACCTATTGCTGGACTTCTGTTGTTACAAGTTGGCAAACACTGGCTGGAACTGGGCTGCAATAAAACATGCCAGTTATCAATGCTGACAAGAGCCTAACAAGTGCCAACACAAGATGATTACGCATTTTGAAATCTAATGAACTGCTTTAACCTTCAGGAAGAATTGTAAAGATGTGTACATAGCACAACATGATCCGGATAATATATATACTGTTCATGTACATCCACAAATACACATTGTACCAAATAATGCTGTCTGTAGTTAGGATAAGAATCGTGTAAATTCTAAAGATTTTAGCAGTTTTTTTTCTCTCCCTATTCATTGTTTCCTATCAGTTAAAAACAAAAAGCAAAAACAACAACAACAACTTGTGAAGCATGTCGAACTAAAACCAATTAGGATAAAGACTTTTTTTCCCACTTAATTTTCCTTTGACCCACTGAGGCTTAATTAAAATCTCTTGCTTATTAAAGTTTAGTATCTCTTTTGGTTTTTGGAAATGTGCTCCCTCTTATTCCCTCATCAGAAGTTAAGATTTTTCCTAATTAAACCCTGAAAGGATTTGCTATCAATTACTTGTGTCTTCTTTTACAATGACCTTTGTAGTCTCAAAGGTGCTTTTTCTTTCCCCTCCTTTATAAAACCCAATTGCACATACTTCTTGAATTGGGTATAGCAATAAAACTGGCCATGGAGCACCCTTTAGCAGCCTGATGGGTTCTGACCTTCCAGAGGACTTGAGTGCTTTAATTTGGGAGCTCAGTTGTTAGTCCAAGATAGGATGAGCTGCTTTTTTTTTTTTTCCTGGGTGATTTTTTTTTTCTTTGCCTTTTTCATTGCCTGTTTGTGGGGAGGGGTGTGTGTATGGGAGGCTTGTTTTTTCTCAAAGTTGAATTCAAGCATGCACATCTGTAGGCTTTCAAATGACTAATTTCTGGGTTTGGTATCAAAAATACTTTCCCACTTTAACTCTTCTCTCTCTTCTGTGGCCCTTCATATTCTTTGCCTTCTACTTCAGAGTTTCCTCACCTAATGTACAAAGAAAATTGCGATGTATATTTTCATGTAATTTGATTTTTGGAATTCTGTCACCTTCTGTAGTGAGTTCTTCCAAAATATAATTTTTTCCAATAATGTTGTGTCAATCTGGCTGTTTTCAGTGCCTTAAACAGGAAGGGGGAACTGCGGTTAGAGCACAATTTACCTGGAGCCTTCAGTGACCTAAAACTCAGCAACATTTGTTAAATTTGACAGTGTATTAAATCATAAAATAACAAAATAACTCCTTTCTCTTAAAACTGTTTTAGGCCTCCACTGAGTAAGGTAATAGATACTGAAACAACTTTCTACCAAAGAAACGTGCAGAGGAACCTGCGACACCTTGACTATTCTTTGCTCTGCCAGGGATTGATGTTGTTAGAGCCTTTAACAGCAGAGAGTAACTAAGCTGAGGGTTTGGTGTCATTAAAAGTCATTTTGTAACAAGATTTCACTATTAATTTCCTAGCTGCCTATACTTTCTTTTGGGTCACTGTACAAAATATATACATACGTGTGTGTACACATACCAAGAAGGTACGTACAAGGTTTCATGAGGGGCTGGGCAGGATGAAAGGTGGAAAGCCTTGTCAGGGTTTTCCTAGTGACCATAAGGAATAAAGAAAAACATAAGCTGTACTATTTAAGGGGTACAACTAAAGAAGTTGTCTAAAGCAGCACTTGCTTTAAATAAATATAGTTGTGCATGATATTCCCCTTTACAGATGTGGTGACTAATGCTGTTGAGAGACCATCAGTTACCTTTGGTTTTCAGTGGAGAGCCTCCTTGTGGAGGCAGGCAGATGCGTGCAGTGCCTCAGTGCTATCTGGGCACAGACGCAAGCGCTGATGTTTAATTCCCACTTAAACGCTCGTCTAAAATTGCTTGAGAGGAGGCTTCTTACCAGCCAGCTGGCTGCCCTTTCATTTCATTGATCCAAGATTAGGGACACTGTTGAATCCCAACAGTGCCACACTTTTAACAAATTAAAAGAGTGAGGATGATGCTGACTTAAAAATGAGAGTAATGACTCTCCCACAGGCCTCCTGCCTACTACCTTTCCATTGAGCACCCAGTCAGCTGGCGCCATGCAAAGTAACCAGTACTTGCTGCTGTAGCAGACTGAATATATTGTTTTCTTGCACACTGACACGTACATGAAGTCTACATCTCACTCATCCCTAAACTTCACAGCTTAAAGCTTCCTCTTCTAATTTGCCCTGTAAAAGAAGAACTTTGATTTTTGCTCTGTTTTTCAAAGAGGTAGGCCTGGAAGTTTTAGTTTTGCTTAAGGCTGATCTCACAGCAGTGATGGACTCCACTTTGATTTGGTTCCCCAGGTAGTTGTGCAAGTCCGCACAGCCCGGACGCTCAAGGGATGGAGTGTGACCATGACCACATGAGCAGCAGGTGTGCCTGATGTCCAGTAGTTCAATTAAGATGCATCTAGGAACCTGATGCTACGTGCCCAGCTTGTAACAACTTTGTGGTAGGTGCAGAAACGGCCCCCTGACTTGTCTGTGATCACAGTTGGGTTTTTGTGTGTCTCGACCCCACATGTGCAAGGGCACGGCCAGGGCCTGGTGCTTAATGATACAAAACCAGCACTTTGTGCATCATGACCTCAAGATACAGGCACTATTGGAAGATGCGCTGCATATAATAGTGTAGCACATGCTTGTGGAACGGCCAAGGAAACCAGCACTCAGTCATTTTCACTCACTGCAAAATCTTGTATCGAGTTTGGTTTTATGTAATTGTCAGCATCCTTTTATTTCTTTCTTTTTTTAATTGTCTGCAGACTCACAAATGTGGGTGAATTTTTCTGTTTTTGTCCCCTGCCAATACCCTATGGGCTGCTTTCCAGAAAACACTGGGTGGGGAGGAAAAAAGGAAAGTGAAAGCATGGAATTTAAATAAATACCAAAATAGGATGATCGTAGGAAATTCATTCCTCCTACTTCTCCGTGCTGCTCCTTACACATTAGAGAAGTTGTTTGTACAGATCAGGAAGGCTTTTTAGCTGCCTGAAATCCCTTCCTGTGATGCCCAGTGAACGCTCAGCGCAACTAGAGGATCAATAAAGGCAGCAAGTGAATCCTGCAGCGATTGCCAGTGTATTTGGTTGCAGCCCCCCTCTTTGTGGGCTTTGGGGTCGGACTTTTCGGTGCCAGCACCGCCCGTGACGCTCTTGCTGCTGTGGTGCCACCGCAATGCAAGCGTTGGGGCACTGCAGACTGTCGTGTTTATTCCCATTTCCAGAAGCACTAGAGAGTGTTTTCAACCTGACACTGAAATTAAACTGGGTTTTAAAGAGAGGCGCTGATAAAATTGTTCCTCTCGCTGCCGAACCTCAGCGAAAATGATGAGATGGGTGATTTAAGCCATGAAAAAGATGGCAGAAAATTTGAAAATGCCACTCTGACGCTAATAAAGATAACTTCAGGCCTGGCCCGATCCCTGTGGTTAGTACTACGAGCTTCCCTGCTCTTAACCGCGCTGATAGGTGGGACCCAGAGTGATGTTTTTCCTGGTAGTGAGACCCGGTTTGCGTCTGGTTTGCTGGCAACTGCTGAAGCCCGCGGCTCTCGCAGGTCTGCGCCCAATCCTCCTCCCAGTGTTTTATTCCAAAAAAAAAAAAAAAAAAGCGAAAATTAAGACAAGAAAAGGAGCTATTTCCCGCAGGTCGCTTGAGAGCAACGCCAGGAGACAGCCACGCACGGGAGCGCGTAAACGCGCCCGTTAATGGAAGAGGCTTCTTGAGCAGACACCCACGGAGGGGGGAAGCCCCACGCGCCCGCGCCTGGGCAGGACGAGAGGCCCGGGAGGCGGCGCTTCCCGCCGGGGCCCTCAGCGGGACGAGGGCTCCCCGCGACCTGCGGGCCGCGCCCGCCCCTCCGCGGCAGCCCCGCGTCGCCCTGCGTCAGTCTCGCGAGAGCCACGGCGCCGGTGCGGCGGCTCTCGCGAGAGCGGCGGCCGCCGGAGCCGACATGGCGGACGGTAACGGCGGGGAGCCCGGGCGGGGCTGCTGCTGGTGGCGCGATGCGGGGCGGCGGGCAGCGCTGCGGGACGGAGGGGACGCGGGGTCGTCTCTCTGCCTAGGGCCGCTGTGTGGGGCCGGGGTCGTCTCCGTCCCGCCCGTCCCCGAGGCGGTGGCGGCCGCGGGCGCCGCCCTGGGCCGGGGGATCGCGGCGCGGGGCCCCCGTGGCCGCCGCGGCTTTTGGCGGGCTGCGTCCGAGCTCCGTCCCCTCCCAGGAGGCTGCGATCCCCGCCCCCCTTCCCCGGGACCCCCCGTGAGGGCCGCGGGGCTCCGGACGCAGCCTTGGGGGGCTCGCGGCCTTGGGGGCTCGCGGCGCGGCCCTCCCGGCGGGCCCGGGAGACACCCGGGCCCTCAGAGCCCTCCCCGCGGCTGCCTCTCCGCGGGGATAACCGGCTCGGCCAGCGGGGCCGGAGAGCCTGGAGCTGCAGGGGGAAGGAGAGCCCTTCGCTTGCAGCTGTGGAAGCCACCGCCTCGCGGAGCGCCCTTTCCACGCCACAGTGGGCAGTTGTTGAAGATTAACTAAGATGCGGCAGAAGCCGGTCTCCCGGCACGCGTCTGTTGAGGAGACGCTGCCGTCCGGCTCGCGTAGGACTGCCAGGGGGTCTCCGTGCGAGCCTGGGCGCCGCTCGGCTGCGGTGCCCCGCCGGGCACTGGCTGCGGGTGTCACGGGTCTCCTCCGGGAGAGGAGGCCACCCAGCACCCTGGAGGGTGCGAGGCCGGGGCTCAGCCCCCTGCTCTGCATCGTGAGCCTGCTTTCACCTCACATCCTGCCTCAGCTGGCCCTGCTTTCCAGAGACTCACCCGCTCTGCATCATTCTGCAGTCTTTTGGCTCAAAATTCCCACAACTGGTGATTCTGTGTGAATAAGAGTAATAAGTAAAGCTTGGAAAGTTGGAGTTTAAGCTCCTGTAGCCAAGTTCCACCCCCTATGCCTTCTCTTACAAGGCTCCGATGAGGGGACTTATTTTGTCCCTTCAAAGTATCTGTTTGCAGATATGCTTTTCCCTATCTGTGGAGTGATGGTGTGAGAGGGTCAGCTGGAAAATGCTGGTTTTCTAGGGGAGGAAGCTTGTAAAACTGGAGCCTGCTTAGAAGCTGAATGCTTTTCTTGTGCAAATGTTGTGTCCGGATGCTGAAGCGCAGAATTAGTTGCCTGGCAATTACTGGCTGCAAACTGATTAAAAGGACTGTAGAGAGAAGAGCAGAGTTTGCTTCTGTGAGCCTTTGGTACCACCAGTACCAGGGAAAGACAGATCATGCCAGGCAGGAGTAAAAAGTGCTCCTGAACACATGAGCCAGGGGCAGCAGGAAGCTTGCAGGAGTATTTTTGGAAGGCAGCTGAAATGAAGATAACTGAGGAAAAAGAAAAAAGGAAGGTGGGAGGAGGGTGAAGCAGAAATCTGGACAGTCTTGGGGAGGAGGAGGCGAAAGCTGGAGCAGTGGATGAAGGACCTCATTTGGGGAAGGAAGTCACTTACTCCCTTGCAACACTTGTCTCCGGTCCAGGAGTTGTTAAGGAGACAAAAGCTCCTTCATGTAGTCTTGGTGGCTGCTCTTGAGGACGATGCGGAGGGGACAGCAGGTCCCAGCAGCATTTCCCGCCCATTCCAGATATGGGACATCTGCCACCCCTTGCCTGCTCCCTCCCTGCTTATCTCGTTAGACTCTGTTATCTTGCCGCTCTCAAGAGCATTTTTGTGCTTTCTGAATGAGAAGTGACACTGCCCTGTTCTGAGATCCTCTTCAATGCCTTTGTTAGGAGACTTAAACTACAGCCAGTTCATGAAATGCTGCTCTGTCTGCTGGAGATCTCAGTTAACAAACACTGCTTCTCTTTTCCTGATAGCTGTGTACCTAGAGTGTGTGCCTGGGAAAGGAGTTGCTTTCTTTACACCTCTCCACAGAAGCCTGCTTTCCTATTCATAAAAGTGTAACCCCTTGTTTAGGCAGAGGCCTCCTGGTACTGGTACCTTCAGAAAACACAATGGGGTTGACTTGTTTCAGTGCCTATATTGGTGTCTATAATACTTGTGTGCCTGCAGTAGCTGTATGCTGCACTCAAGACCCAGTCAAATAACTGTTCTGAGCTAATACAGGTAGTACATAATGTTTGTGCTGCCAAAATGATTGTAAACTTGGAGATAGAGTGGTTATTAAAATAAATTTCCACTTGCCCTGCCCAAAATTAGAACACTTGAGGACTGAAAATAGTAACAACAAAGCTCCAGACTTACTAGTTTAAACAGAGGCTGTGGTTCTGACATCTGAATTTAAGCAGACTTTCCTTTAAGAAACAGTGCAATAGCTATTTTTCAAATAAATGAAGCATGAACAGGGGAAACGTGATTTTTTTTCCCCCTCTGCAGTGAATGATGATTAATGGGATACTGAGACTGTGCTGATTGTGCCCCTGGAAGCTTCTGTAAGATCAAATACTGTCTGAGAGTGTGACAGCAGCTACCGCGCAGCTGAGGTGCTGGCTCTCGTGGGTAGAATAAGAAACTTGTTCCACAGCTCGTCCTTGTAATCCTCGCAGCACGCAAATCCCTATCAGTAGCTGGTACTGAGATAAAACTGTCAGTCTGAGGGACTTCCCAAAGTTTCAGTGTCTGAAGCACTTTCCCTACCCATGGAGATCTTGGCGAGTGCTAAGCAGAGCTACAAGCAACCAGATTCCCATTGCTGCCGCTCTGGGGTAGCTTGAAAGGGTGGCTGATGACTGCGAAATTTGGAGGTGGTTTTTGTAAGATAGGAGTATTTGACACATTGCCTTCTGGCTGATTTTTTTTTTTTTTTTTTTTTTTTTTTTTTAATTCCCGCTTTGGTGCGGTCATTGTGCTTGAAGATGCAGTATTTCTTTTGTATATCTGCTTTGAGGTTCAGCAGACACCCTCTTGTTCCTGATTGTTGAATCCTGCGGCACCTAAAGATGCCTGCCTGTGTGAACAGCAGCCGTGTTTGGCACTGATCCCAGCTGTTCTCCACTAGTGTTTTTTAATGTTATCAGCTCCTGACTGTAATCAAACTTTTGCTCTCCCTACTGTATCTGTAGGGTTTGCTTTGTATTCCTGCTGACACCTTCCTTATGAATGAGGCAGGAAGGAACAGTTGCTCAAGAGACATGTCCTTCTGGTTCTAGGAACACTGAACTGGCGTTTTTATGTTTAGATTCAGGGAATAGAGCAATGCTTCAAGTGTTTTGCTATTGGTTAGGTTATGAAAAATAAGCACACTTCAGCAAAATTGAGGGGAAATATCCCAAACTAAGCAGTGATGCCAGTTCTCAACTCTCAAAGAGTGGAACTAAATGAATATCTGGTGAAGGAAGTACAGTTCAAAGCCTGTTTAAGCAGTAGTAATTGGAGAGTAAAATAGGGTAGATACCTCCTGTTTACCCATTATAGTAGCCATTAAGTTAGAAGTCTTACAAGGGATCATTTACCACAATAGTCCGTGGAGGAGAGGCTAAATGAGGCATTAATTCTGCAGCTCAACCAGAGGGATGTTCAGCCCTGGGGCCTGTGTTGGAGTAAGGCCAGGGCCTGCTCTGCTCTTGCCTTTCTTTTTCTTTTCTTAACAGAAAGGAAACTGGTCCATAGAGCTCAGTTCTTTGGTGTTTATGATAGGGACTTATTACATATTTGAGAAAACTCTGCTAGTAGGGAGGAATCTTACAAGAACAGTTTCAGTTTCGTGTTTCAGCTTTTCAGTAACACTGTGTGTGTGTGCACGCAGAGGAGGTGGCCAAGCTGGAAAAGCACCTGATGCTTCTCCGCCAGGAATATGTAAAGCTGCAGAAGAAACTAGCAGATACAGAAAGGAGATGCAACCTTCTGGCCGCCCAGGCGAACCAAGAGAATGCCAGTGACACGTTCATCTGTCGACTCCTTGCCATCGTGGCTGATCTCTACCAGCAGGAACAGTACAGGTAAGAAAATCTTTCTCTGGGGAGAGAGAGGCTACTGGAAGCTCCCCCGGGTAAACTTGTTGGTTTAAAAGAGCTGTGAGAGTTTTATTGTCTCTAGTGCACCTGTAAGAGTATGCTGAGATCGGGTAGCTAAGAAATTAGGTGAGTGTCAGAAATGGTCAGCAGCTTGGCTCCTGCTGAACAGAAGTACTGTCTTATTGCAGACCTCTATTACACGGTGCATCTTCTAACAACCATGGAAAGCTCTCATTGAAAGCTGATGTCCTTGAAGCAAGTTCTCTTGTCTGTAAGAAGCCTGATTAAACTGACTTGGTTGTACTAGATAACAAATCTTGGGTAACGATATAAGTGACTTAGTGGTGTAATGATATTGTATTTTTGCATCTTGACATAAGATTAGATTTCAGGGTTTTTCCATAAGCACATTAGGGACCATCTTTAGTAGTCCAGATTCCTTAACTGATTTAGTTCCGAGACCTTATTGACTCTTAGCAATATTTCTTTGCTGTTTCTAAAAGCAAAGTCAATACCAAAGTCAAAGTATTGGAGAAGAGGTGTATATAGAGAGGGTGTATAATTAGTCCCTTTCCCCATTGCATCATTAGCTTCCCTAGGAAATAGGTGCATACCTGGCCAGAAACTTCGGGCACGTTGCTGAAATGTGAGCTCTTAGCACACATCAGAGTTGGATTACTGCTTTGCTGCTGTTCAGCTTTAGCTGCTGTAAATGCATGGAATAGCAGCCCAGTTATATAAAAGGAGGAAGGAAAGAAGCCAGTCCCAATATAAATATTTTGTTATGTAACATCTCTGTTCTGTACTTTAGTTTAGCAGTGGTTTGGTTTAGAAAGTTTCCTGGAAAAATACATCAGTGTGGTCAGAACACCTGCAAACTATGGGACTTCAAAATGAACTGGACATGTGCTTCCAAACTGCAAAAGACACTTGGTGTTGAAGAGCTCAGAATGGAATCAGTGTTTTTAGCAGATGGTCCCCTGAAAAAGGACTATTTTTGAAGTCTGCTTCATACTCTGGACTACTGTCAGACACTGTTCTCTTGCTAGTTTTGCCCCAAGCCTTTGATTCTTAGCAAGCTGAGCTGACAGAGAGGACTCTGCACCCGAAGATTAACTTCAAGATTGCTGGGTTTTTTTTCTTTACTTTGTACAGCGGTTTCCTAGCAGTTTATTCTGGAATCAAGTTGCCTTTCCTCCTCCCCTACTTCCCCAAACTTTAGTGAATGGCAGTGAGACTCATTGCTTCCCTCCTCTCCATGAAATAACAATTAGGTGACTTAACCAAAAACATCAAAACTAGTGGAATGTAATTGGTTCTCTCAAACAACATGAACCTAAATCTGGATATGGGGACATAAATACTGTGAAAATGCTGAATCTGTAGCTATCCAAGCACAGGGGAACTTTGTTATAGTTGTGTGTACGTGTTTTGTTTATTTTTTCCCCCTCTCTCCTCTCAGTGACCTGAAGATAAAGGTTGGGGACAAGCACATCAGTGCTCACAAATTTGTGCTGGCAGCACGCACTGAGACTTGGAGCCTAGCCAACCTCGTGTCGACAGAGGAGCTGGATCTGTCAGGTTGGTCACTGCTTAGCAGTGTGTGATGCTTTGATTGTCTTTGGGGTGACTGATGAAGGGATGAAAAGATTGCTTACCATGCAGAATACTACTGTGCACAGAAAGGAATGCTTAGCTCATTAATTATGAAGCTCTGAAACATGCTAGTAAGTTTGCAAACTAGAGGGGCAGTGTTAGTTCAATCAGTTGTCTTTTCCGTGCATTAATGGAAGCCAGAAATGGTCTTTCTGAGAGTAAGGTAAATGTGAAAACTGAGTCTGTGTGGAGGAACTCAACTCTCCTTTTTAGGACAGGGTTTTTGAGATGCAAAGTATATAGTTTTCTCGCTAGAAGATTATAGAGGAGGAAAATGGGGAAAAGTTTTGATTTCTTATAAAAATCTTTTGCATTTTGATACCTTTGCAGAATAGGCCAGGGAAGACTGTTTTGAAACACTATCTTCTATGGGGTGGTGTTTTGTTCTGCTGTAGCTGTTTCTTACATGCGATTAAGCAGTATTTTTGCATAATGAATCTCTTGAGAAGTTTAGTGTGCGGGTGTCTTAGCATGCAATTAATGCCTCAGCAAAGGAAAGGGGAGTGAAGCCAAACAGGTTTACAGGCTGAAGTGCTCACCATCAGCCACTTACTACTCCTAGTCTTATCATGAATTGAAAGTGCAGCCAAGCTACAAAGCAGCAAGTCTCAGCAAGTCAGTTTTGTGAGGCAGCATAGGTTTCCTTGTAGAAACATCTAAGGATCTTTCTGCAGCTGCAAGACAGCAGATGCCAGGGAGCCAGCTCAAATTGAACACTGTCAGCACAGTGTTCACACTTTAAAATCAATACCGATTACAGTTTTGTTACAGGTGTTAAGTGACAGTTCATAGCACTTCTAGCGCCAGCTTCAAGCTAGTTTGGAAGCTTCAAGCAGTCTTGCGTGATTAACAATACAAATACGGCCTCATTATAGCATGATAGGAAAATATGTGCTAGTGCTGCTTACCACTGTGCAAAATTTATTTTTAACTTTGATAATTGCATAAGGTTAAGGTATGAAGTAGTTGCCACAACCTATCCTCTTCAAGACTTGACATAGTTTTTAAAAGACAATGTTCAGAACTTGCGAGTTGAGATGACCTAAGCCAAAATACAGGCAATATTCAAAATTGAATGTTTGGAGGGATTCATATCCCCCTGCAGATTGAGTGGAGAGAGATAAATATCTTCACATTTTGGAAAGAAGAAAGTACCGTCTCAGCCAAAGCAGTGCTGATTACAGCTCAAGTGAGTTTTCTGATTACTTCAAGAGCACTGGTCCAAAGAGATTCTTTTTTTTTTTTTTTTTTTTTTTTTTCTTCTTCCCTTACCAAATGGCCTGTTTCTTCAGAAGTTACTTCAGAGAGTACTACCAAATATTACTTGGAAGAGCTTGTAGTCTGCAAATCTGGGGCAAACTTTTCATCTAAAGGATGTTTTGGGATGGGTGGTTCAGCCAACTGCGTATGTGTGCTTTTTTTTTTTTTTTTTTNTTTTTTTTTTGAGCTTGGATACTGTTTTCTTATACCAATAGTATTTTTGTTATAATGTGTGTGATCTTATGCGGTCTAGTAACCTAGTAACTTACATCCCCCTAAGTAGGACTGTCTGTGTAATGCTTCTGATTAAGTATCAAGGGCTCCTGACCATAAGACCTGTATCTAGCAATCTGCAATATAGGTTTCTATCACTTTAGGTGTAAAAACATGCTGGCTTGGAACTGGTGCTGTAAAAACACCTGAAGTTAAACTGATTTCTTACACCAGCTCTTTTCTACCCCTTCCTAGAAGTGGTTCCCAGCAGGTTAAGTACTTTGTAGCTCTTTCTAAGAGGTAAATAACATTTATGGAAGGCAGCAGTTCATAACACATGGTCCTGGCAAGCAAAGTGAGGAAGGAAGAGTTCTTAAAGTGAGAAGGGAGACTTGGCTTTGTCACATGTAGGGAATAAATTCTAGATTTAGCCAGTCTTTTTTTTTTTTTTTTTTTTTTTTCACTAGTTGATTCAGTCTTGCCAATTTTTGAACTTTAATCAAACTAAAGCAGTACAATTTCAACCCAATTATTTTTTTTTCCTTTTAGCTATAACTATAACAGTGAGAGCAATGACAACTACTTGAATAGATGGTTGTTCTTTGGGTATCTCAGTAATACCTGTTCCTCTGTGCTAGATGCTGACCCAGAGGTAACCATGGCAATGCTGCGCTGGATCTATACAGATGAACTTGACCTAAGAGAAGATGATATCTTCTTGACAGAGCTCATGAAATTAGCTAATAAATTTCAACTCCAGCTGCTTAGGGAAAGGTGAGTCTTGGTAAACACTGAGTCTTCTATTCAAACAAAGTCAGAACGTTCAAGAAATAAGTTAATAGCTGCTAGCAATTGGATGGAACTTTGCATTTTTAAAGAAAGACTTGAAGTTTTTAAAATGCAACATGACATTCAGTAGATCACAGGAGATGAAACTTTGCACAAGAACTTTTAACTGTAGCAGTTTTTCCTCATATTTACTTCCCTTCATGTGGACTCCAGCAATGGTTGATGCTGTCATGGGACCTCAGCTTTGATAGACCCTGCTTTGATACGAATGTACTCTTACTATAACTATTTTGAAGGGCTTCTGATTAAAATAAAGCTAGACAACATAAATATATAGTAAATATATTTTGCTTATATACACACACACACACGCACACATATAAATATATAGTAATGCTAAACCTTTTTCTGTTAGCACCCAGCAAAAGGAGTAGAACACTTGCAGCGTGGGAAAGTGGTTCCAGAAATGGTTTCCTGATTAACTAAGCATGACTTTCCTATTTTAACAGATGTGAGAAAGGAGTTATGTCACTAGTTAATGTTAGGAACTGTATTCGCTTCTATCAGACTGCTGAGGAGCTGAACGCTGGTACTCTCCTGAACTACTGTGCTGAAATAATTGCTAGTCACTGGGTAAGTACTTTGAAGGAAACAGGAGAAAATGTTGAAATGGAGATGCTTAAACTGTAAATTCTTTGCTTAACTTTACTGCTTAACTTCTACAGTATGTTTTGGTGTGATAGCATTCAAACATTCCATTTGGGGTGGGAGTTGTATCAGCTGCTGCGTAGCTTGCAGTCACTAAGGTGCCCTCCCTTGCTCATTTTGTTTGTAAGAGGCAGCATCAATGTGGAGAGCCTTGCCCCCATTAAGTAGAGGGACTTCTCCCGAGTCAGGGATCATTTTTCTTCTCTTGCCTTCTTTCTCAGGTAGAATTTTGTCATATCTACATAAGAAACAAATGGTACACTAAATGGCTCTTAATTCCCCTTTTGTGTGTGTGTGTTTTTTATCCTTTCTGGGGGTTGTGTTCACTGGAAATGCGGTGCTCTATAAAGCCTCTTGGTAAGCTTGAGCCAAACCAGAAAGATCAGTGTAATAAGGAAGAGTTGCATATCAAACTTGAATTCTGAACTGTTGAGATGTTCACCCACAATTAGTCTCTGAGTGTACACAATTGGGAATCCTAGGGCTGATTTTAGTTCCAAATATAATACTTGAAAGTAAGAGTCAACCTAGTAATGAGTTTGTTTCTAATGGAGGGAGATGCAAGGAATCGTGCAATGGACCTGGAAGTGCCACTTGTTCTAATCTGTTATTCTGGGGAAAGTGTGATCAACTGTACTGTAATGAATTCTTCAATAGCAGTAAGCTTTTTTCACAAAAAATAACTTGAATCTGCGATTTAAACTAATTTCCTGTCTTAACTGAGAGACTGGATATTGACCTGCTCTAAGGGTTGATGTTGGTTGTTTTCCCCTCCACCTAGACATAGAGGAGTGGAAAACCTCACTGTAACAGATTTTGAAACTAAATTGAAAGATGTTAAAGCTCCTATGAGTACATTATCCTAGTCTTAAAAAGCCATCTTGGGTTATCTCTAGGTGAGAAACCTGGATCTGTTCCTGCTTGTTTTTATGCAATGCATGTTATCAAAATGGAGTTTTAACTCAGTTTGTTTTCTGAACTTTAATTGCATTGTGTAATGGCAGATTATTTACAAACAAGGTGGAAGGTGTTTCTTTTTTTATTCCTTCTAGGATGATTTGCGTAAAGAAGACTTCAGTAGCATGAGTGCTCAGTTGCTGTATAAAATGTTCAAATCAAAGACAGAATATCCTTTGCATAAGGCTATTAAAGTTGAGAGAGAGGATGTTGTCTTCTTGTACCTTATTGAAATGGATTCACAGGTATAGTGAACTGACCTGCTCTGTGTTCAGTGATACTGATGTTTCAAATAAGTAGATTAACTGCTAGTCTGAACCTTGTTATCGATTTCCGTCACTGATGCTCTTCATACGGTGTTTGACTGCAATATATGCTTCCATTTGTGTAATGGAAATCTAGCTACCACATCAGAAGCTTCATAGAGATTAACTTGGAAGCATTTCATAATGCTCTTAGAACATAATGCTTTGCATAAAACTGATAGTATCTGATCCAGTCCAGTATCTGTATCCAGAATCCAGTACCAGTTATTCCTGGTTGTTGTATTGTGCACAGTAAGAATCACTATATAACAGTGAACATACTAGAGCATTAGCAAGCAAATTATTCCTCAGATTTTCCAATATGAGTGTTTGAAAAAGGAATTACTTGGCTATTTTTCTTAGTACCTTGTTGACTGGGGTTTCATGTTGGGCAGTGTGTGTATCAGTATAACTAACATCAATCCACTAAACTTGTTTTATAGCTTCCTGGAAAGCTCAATGAACTGGATCACAATGGAGATCTTGCTTTGGATCTAGCCCTCTCCCAGCGACTGGAGAGCATTGCAACTACACTGGTCAACTACAAGGCTGATGTAGATAGAGCAGACAAGAATGGCTGGAGTCTATTACATAAAGCCATCCAAAGAGGTGAGTAAATAGGATATGAAGCCTCTTTAACTTGCAGTTATTCCCAGCTTGGAATATATATTCCAAAGACTAGCCTTGTATTGCTCTGTAATTGACATTTTGTTTTTAAAACTAATTAACAAAACCTTGTTGAAGTATTTGAGATGTAAATGTTGGCCTGCAGGCTGGTGAACTAAACTCTGTATATGACATCAAGAAGCTATCTAGAACAGCATTGCATGCTAAAGGATATATAGGTAGATATATTGGATAGAGAGCATTCTAATATGGCAACACACTTGATGTTTTTCTGACAGATAGCTGAATCAAGCTATATCATTCATGGACAACCTAGCTACAAAATGAAAGGGAAGCCTTTTTCTAGCCTGGGTTGAATGCAGCACCTACTTCTTACTGATCATGGTTAACAGCAAGGGTCTTCCCTACTGGACAGCAGGTAGAAGTGCTTCTGTGCCAGTCTAAATATCTCAAAGTTCTAGCTCCAGGGAATGGTAGCATGGCTAATATTAACAGAGTGGAGCTTGAGCACAATTATGTGATTATCTTGAGCTACTCTTGAGTGTAAAATGCATCTTATGAGAACTGCAGCACACTAGGACCTGGTTGCCATAGCCACAGGATTTGCAAGTCTTTGGAGCAGCAGATTCTGGCTTGTGGCCAAGGTCTGGTTTAAAGCAAAACCTCTAGAGCATCATGCAGCTACTTTCCTGTAAGGATTTTATCTTTAGGCAGCTGTTTGTTCCAGAGTACTGCAGGCCATCTTACCTGTGAATAGCTCTCATAGGTTTTGGGGTGCTACAAATAATTAAAAGAACCAGTTTACTTCTACCATCAGATAATATTCTACAAAACCAGAAGTATTTCTAATGAAGTTTGAGAGCTCCAGGCTCATGAATTTTCTTTAATCTCTTATATATTTGAACAGGATAATGATGATGCCTGATTCTATGAATAAAACTTCAGCAGCAGGAGTAGGAGACCTTCTAGGCATAGGTCAGTGTTCTGGTGACTGCAGTCTTGTGAAGCATTAGAAAGTTGGCAGCAGGCTGCTTTTTATAATTAATACTAGCATTTGTCTGCTAGTTCTAATGCCTGCTTTTGGACTAAACTAAAACTCTGAGAATGAATGCTTGCTTTTCAGCAACCAAGCTTCAGTGAGTTAATCACTGTTAACAACCATGTGTCCTGGAAACAGATAAAGCAAATTGTCTGAATTTGCCACACAATCCTTATTTCCTCTGATCATTGAAGAAAAGTGGGGAAATTCCGAATGCGGAAATTGGGGAAAGTGGGATTTTGATTTTGGCTTTTTGATGTGATGCTGCTTTTCATGTTGCTTAAACAGGGAAAGAGTGTGTTGTGGGTGTTTCTGTTTGTTTGTTCTCCAGCCTGGAATACTGGGAATAGTAATACGCTAAAGTGCATCTTGGTGTTTCAAGTCAATACCTGATGTACTAAAGTGAGCATAGTGTCCAGTGCTGCCTTCTGAAGAAATGCTGAAGGAGAGGGTTCTTAGTGCCTTGCATGGTTGGTCCTGACTATTGAAGCTCTTGGGTCATTAGTGGGACCTAAACTTGCAAGAGATGGCAAGGCTTGTGCAAGTGCTTGTCTGTGCAGCAACATAGACAGTGACTAACTTCAAACTATAGCATTCTAGGCTGGTGTTCTGGAATAGTGCCTCTCGGACGCAAATGACTTGTGTACTTAGTCTTGCAAATTGTCCAGTTGTGCATTACAGCAGCAGTGGGTTTGTCTTAACTGTATAAGACTGTTTGTCTTAACTAGGAGCTGGCAAAGTTGCTCAGTACCACCACACCAATAAATCAGTGCTTGAACTCTAGAATTTGCATGTAACCTCGAGGGTTTGTTCTGAGGATTATGAGATGCCTTCATACTGCCCATGTAGCAAGGGGTGTTCTTGGAGTTATCTCTTGTTAAGGTGCTCTAAGAATAGATGATTCTGTTGGAATGACTGCATGGTATAGGGGGAAATCATGTGTCCATTTTTTGAACTCGTGTGAAGTTTGCAGGTTCCTAGCATATCCACAGATAACCTTCTTTCCTTCCACAAAAGGAGATAAATTTGCTGCGAACTTTCTTATTAAAAATGGTGCCCGTGTGAATGCTGCTACTCTGGGAGACCAGGAGACTCCTCTGCACCTTGTGGCATCGTACAGCCCCAAGAAGCATTCACCAGATGTCATGGCTGAGATGGCCCAGATAGCAGAATCCCTCTTGCAGGCTGGAGCCAATCCCAACATGCAAGACAGCAAAGGAAGGTAAATACTGGCTGAAGTAACTTCTGCTACCAGTTCAGCAGATAATAGAGAAGTAATTAGATAGAATCCAGGAGGAACATGCTCAGGTCTGTGAACAAGGCACAGATGATACTGGAAGAAAGAAAGATGAAGTGTTTGACCCACTGATCGTGGAAAACTGTAGGTTGAATGATACTGTAGTCATACTCCAAGTATGGAAAGCTGGGGTGAGCTATCTGTTGAAATACAGTTAGCAATTTTTCTTTATTGGACCATTGAGCAGTAAAGCAAGCTAAATGATGACAAATGGCTTTTTTTTTTTGAGCCATTTAAAAAGGCTTAACCTCAATCTATTGACAGACAATTTTATCTCAAAGGGCCAATGTCTGCAATGCATTTGAGGTGTCTCTTGTTTTGACAAATGGTTACTGAAGCACAGAGTGTTTAAGTTACTTTATGGGTTGGCCAGCAAACATGTAAAATAGTGTAGAAAGCCTTTCAAAGTTTATAAAATACTCAATTTTGGCAAGTTAAAGGATTTGAGCCTTCCTGCTGTATGCTTGAAGGTTAGCTGTTGTGTTAATGTAAAGAATTACCAATGATTTTACTGGAGTGATAGCTGCTAAAGGAGTGGCTTGCGTTGTCTAGATGTGCTTAAGTCCTTTGCCTGAAAGCAGAGGCAAAGGCTAACCCTGGAGTTTGGGGGGGAAGATTGGTGAAGAACCTTGGGTAGGAGAACCTTGTATAGGAGTGTCTTGCTTCTTGCTAATTCAATTATACCTGGCTTCAATTGCAGGACCCCATTACATGCATCAATTGCTGTGAGGAATGAACCTGTATTCAGTCAACTCCTCCAGTGCAAACAGTAAGTTTCATTTAAATGCAAATCACAGTGAGGTTACTTTGTACAGTGAAGATATGAGAGTTCGTTTAACAAGGTTGCTAGGCCTTTTGGCCGTGTAGGCTTGTAGTAGGCCGTGGATGCAAGAATGTAAGGACTCTGCATAATATAAGATGAAAGTTATCTTCCTACACAGTGCCAGAAGCCAAGCAAGCTTGCTGTGCTAAAGAGCGGAAGCACATTGCATCTTGTTTATTTTCTAAGCAGGGTTAGCTGAAAGGATGTAGCAGTAACTTCATTCATAGTAGAGCCTAAAGGAATTATAAGACTCTAGTGTCTTAATACCTTCCTACATTCAAGTTGGATTCTCTGTAAAGCTAAGGCAGATACTAAGCAAATATTAGGGCAAAGAAGCAGAGTATTTCATGTGGCTCAGCTTCTCGTTAGCTGAATTGAGAGCTCTGTGCACTAATTACATGCAATGGGACTTCTTCATTGTATACATTTTTGTGACAGTCCAAATCTAGTAATGTCACAGTTCCCTTTAGGAGCACTCAGCTTAGGCATGACTTTTGGTAACTTCTAGTGCTTCTTCTAGAGTATTTACAATACTTTGAAGCATCTGAAGCTGGAGCATATTTCTTGGGCAAGCAAAAGAGTTGCCAATGAGGTGTCAGAGAAGCTAGTACAGCTGTTAAGAGACTTGAGTATTAGAAGCTGCACAAGGAACGTTTTTTTTCTTTTTGTTAAGACATAAATTGAGTAACATTAACCCTTATTTTTAGACTAGATTTGGAACTGAAGGATCATGAGGGAAGCACAGCTCTGTGGCTTGCAATTCAGTATATCACCGTGTCTTCTGATCAGTCTGTAAATCCTTTTGAGGATGCCCCTGTTGTAAATGGAACCTCATTTGATGAGAATAGTTTTGCAGCAAGGTTGATCCAACGAGGCAGCAATACAGATGCGCCAGACACGGTAACAGGTAAAATGGAGGTTTGTATTTCTGTTTAGGTGGAAGGCTTGTAGAAGTTAATTGCCTGGTGCTGCTAGCTACACTTTCTGAAATCCAAATGACCTTAGGCTGTTTAAATAATTGGATGGAATTAGATGAAGATTTCTGGGGAGTGGAATGTAATTGCCACAGTTGTTGCTGAGCACATATGCAGAACAAATGGTAGGTGGTAGTAACTTCACTTCGTACCTGTCAGAGTTCCAGCTCCAAGTGAGCTTGGTTTGCAGAAGTAACAAAAACTGGACTCCTTGCCAGGTCCTGGCATCTTTACAGTTTCAAAATTTGTATTTGCTAAATGACAGTGAATGTGACACTGCGGCATTGAGAGAGGACAGCTAGTAGATAATATGAAGCTGATGAAGAAAATCCTTTAATGTAGTAAAGTAGTAGGGAAAATGTTTGCACTGGTTAGTGTCAAGGTGTAGTTGGAATAGCACTCTTAACTGCATTTGAATGTTTTTCTTAGGAAACTGCTTGCTTCAGAGGGCAGCTGGTGCTGGAAATGAGGCAGCTTCTCTCTTCCTAGCCACTCATGGAGCAAAAGTGAACCACCAAAATAAATGGGTAAAAAGTAGTCCAAAAGTTCCCTTGAATGTACTGTTCCAGAAATGCAATACCAGATTTATTTATTCATTTATTAAGAGAAAATGAGCCTCTTAAAAGTTAACTAATGCCAGCTTCAACGAGCTGGAAGCCCAGAGTTCTCTGGGTTTCAGATATGTATTAGTAATTGCACAACTATTATGTTCCTGCAGTACTGCTCCTGCAGCATGACCAGGGGTTAACATGCTTCTAGCACTTCTCCTTGCTCTAAAAAAACTCATTATCATAGGTCATTTGTTTTAACCTGGAAGTTCTAGTAAATTTCAACTACTAGAACATAAGCTTTACATATACCTAAAAATGGTTATTGTAGTTTAAAAGCTCCTTTAGCTCATGAGTGCTTGTCTCAAGCCCTTAATGCATCTTCTGTTTATTAAAGGGAGAAACTCCACTGCATACAGCGTGTAGGCATGGCCTAGCAAACCTGACAGCGGAGCTTCTGCAGCAAGGAGCCAATCCCAACATCCAAACTGCAGAAGCAGTCCTTGGTCAGAAGGATAAATCTTCTCCAGCAGCAGAGAATGTCTACCTGCAGACTCCCCTTCACATGGCCATTGCTCACAATCATCCAGATGTGGTATCAGTCATCCTGGAACAAAAAGGTATGGTTTTTCTGTTTCAAATTATATTGATGTTGTAATGGACTGATATGTCCAGTTGCTAACTAAACTGTTAGGAAAAGCTACAAATCGCCTATGTTTTCCTGGAGACTTTTTGTAATTAATCAATTAACAAGACTGATTACACAAACAGGTGACTTGAGTTTAAGGCTAGAATGTTGTCTTGGAAAGATCAGCAAATACAGGTTTGCTCCATTGTCTCCACTATGGATAGTGAACTTGAAGTTTAAGCTCTGCTGGAGGTATCAGTGAGATCCCATTCTTCTCCTGTCAAAATATTCAGTTCAGATAAATGCAGGAATCTGCTAAACAGGGTTAGGAATCTTACCTTCTATGGCCTTCAACTCGTTCGATAAGATGATTTTGAACAGTCAGTGTGATTGCAGTCACACGATTGGTCTTACTGAATACTGAAATATTAGCAGAATTCTACACTTCGGACATCTAGGATCCTTATCAGGTTTAGCTGGCATTAGGAACAGGTGGGGGGATTGTGTTGAATTGAGTGTATCTTCCTTTCCGAGGAGCTGAGAAGGAGGGATGCTGCCACCATTGTTCATTGTACCTCCCAGTAAAGTCTTTATACAAAGCTCTGAGCATGAAGCCACCTAACTCAGAAACAGAGGTGGTAGTAAGGGGAAAAGCTAAACCCCTTAAGTATGAGTTTAAAGATTTGGTGGTGTTGTCACTGCTGCTTAGTCTTAAATAGTCTGAGCACTTGGGGAACTCAGGATACTTACTCGTTGCACAGGAATAGATTTCCCCCTTCCCCCTACCCTCTCCAAACTGTCTGGATAAATGAACAGTCTACTTGTAAATATGAAAGGTGTTTCCCAACTAACATTGCTATTCCTGTACATGTCAAAAACAAGAATGTTCTAAATCTGAATGTTTTGTTCCAGCTAATGCACTTCATGCTACCAACAACTTGCAAATCATTCCTGACTTTAGCTTAAAGGACTCAAGAGATCAGACAGTGCTGGGATTGGCTCTGTGGACGGGTAAGCAACTACAAATTAAAGTAAGAATTGAATATGTAGAAGACATGATGTGAATAAGGCACCTGAGACAAAGCAACAACTGTGGGTTCATAGCCTGACTTGGACTGCTAATGAAAAGCTATCTAGGAGAATTGGAGATGGTAATTTTTGGCTCCTAAAAAGGCATATTCACATATCATTTGTTGATGGGCAATTTTTAGCCCTGTAGCTTCCCTTCACTGAGGGGTAGTCTGGAGCTTCTTTGCCACAACTCTGCTTGCAGCTATGTGAAATTGCTTCAGCATGGGAAGTCTTTGTTGGCGTTTCTTATCGGTTTACCAGACTCTGTCTTTTTGCGGCTGTGTAGAAAAATGGTTAATGTGCTAGTGCTGTTTGTAACAAAGTGAGGGTCAGCTGCTCTAAAGGGCTGCCAAGGGAAATGGAGCTGAAATACCGAATTGGAAGATGCTTTCTTGTCTGCAAAGGGAAGGGGGATGGATTTGGGAAAACTTTAGAGTCACAATCAAGTGACGCTTCAGTTTTATGGGGATATTCTCAAAAGAAAGTGGGTGGCCATCACTGAATCCACATAAGTGTGGTCCTGCTGAACAGCAAACAGCTATACAGCAAGTGACTTCCTGGGCTGTGGACTTCAGTGAGATGAGACAGAACACTCAGTCATATACTCTATTTTGAAGCACCAGATGTCATCCACATGTAAAAACACTTCTTGTCCAGTCTTCTGTTTTTTAATTCCCAATGATTTTAAAATAAGGAAACTGAGATGTAGATTTCTCTTAATCATTGACTTAATCTCCTGAAATGAGAGAAAGAAGTCATGAATTGGGCATCTGGATGATACAGTAATAGAGATGTGAATGGCTAATAAATGTAGTGCCAAAAGTCAGTATGACTCTTGAACAAAAGCGGAGGAAATGTGAAGGATTAGAATATATGTGGCTCTTACTGGACTTTAGGTGGCAGAATGAGAAGTCTTTTCTGTATGTCAAATCATATCTGATGTCTTTAAAGCAAGACAAAAAGGAGTTGGTGATCAATATTCTACAATTAGTACACCAGTGAATATCAGAGTTATGTAGATATGAATTTGCTTAGTTCATGTTTAAGTGTGCTAACATTGAATCAATATGCTGCTTTTATTGGAAGTTGAAAGTTCAAAGCCTTATTTACTAAGATTTGGAGGATCTGTGAAGGTAAATACTAATGAGCTCTAAATCTTCAGGCATGCACACGATAGCAGCTCAGCTTCTTGGATCTGGAGCGTCCATTAATGACACAATGTCAGATGGGCAGACTCTGCTACATATGGCAATACAGAGACAAGACAGTAAGAGTGCACTGTTTCTGCTGGAACATCAGGCAGATATAAATGTCAGGTAAGATCTTAACTGATGCAGTACTAGTTGGATCCATGTTTAGGTGTGCAGCTTGAAGTTAGAGGTGTGCAAAGCTTGAAAGTTAGAAACTTGACCTATTTTTGTGGAACTAATTATGACTGTGGAACTTGAAGCTATTCGTAGTTCTGTTGGTCAGTGCCACCTCTTGGGACTGCAGAGGGAGGTGTCCATTCTTCCTAGATAAAACAGAATACTCTTATCACAAACTCAAGTCCCAGAGACACAGCACTGAACTTCTGGAGTTTCCCGTCTGTTTATCAGCTTGCTGGAGCTATGTACTTTCTAACACATAACCTTAATTAGGTGTAGATCCAGCAACTAGATTCAGATATAATTTGCATCATGAGTTTGTCTTTAGACAAGCTGATACTAACTTTAGCAGGAAAAAAAAACCCTCTGCTTACGTGCAGCTGACATGTTTTCTTTACAGTTTTGCTCTGTTTACCACAGTGAGTGAAGTAGGGATAAACTGCCTGATACTGCTGTTTTGACTTCAGAGTCCTGCAGTTGCTGTTTGACTCTTTGAAGTGTTATCGTAGCATGAACAAATCTGTTCCCTTGTGTAGTAGGAGGCTTCTGCTCGAAAGGAAGCTTCATGCTCAGAAGATAACTGAGCTTAAATGAGAAAGAAAAATGAGCAGCAAGTTAACACTCTTAGCTCAGACTTTAGAGATGATTCATTTGCTGCTTGGAAAAAGAAATGTAGACTGTTGCCGTGATCATAGAATGTCTTGGTAGGTATTCTCAATTGTAGATATTTTTATCATAGCTAAAATGCATAAATAGGGAGATAGTACTAGTCTTTACTACATGAGCCAGAGGATTGTTGTAACAGTAACTTCTAGCAGGGTGGTAGCAGACATCAAACTCTTCAAACTGAGTGTCTTGCAGAACGCAGGATGGAGAGACTGCCCTACAACTAGCAATAAAAAACCAGCTCCCTCTTGTGGTTGATGCTATCTGTACCAGGGGAGCAGACATGTCTGTGCCAGATGAGAAAGGAAATCCACCTTTATGGCTTGCTTTGGAAAATAACTTGGAAGATATTGCCTCAACTCTGGTAAGAGCTATTTATTTTTTCTCTAGCTTTCATATCACTGGTAATGAATTATTAACTAGCGGTTTGTTTCTCCTAGTGCATGAGTGGAGTAGTCCTATAGCACCATCTAGATTCTAGTGTTTTTCTTCAGAAACTGTTCTTTCTGGAGAAATTTTCTCTAAATACTGCACTTCTGTATAGTCAAATACCTTGCAACTGCTATATTAAAGGTGTAAAATAAGCTGTGAAAATTCCTGATTTTTTTTTTTGTAAGTGCTGTAGCATCTACTTTCCAAAAGATCTTTTACAATGTCAGTTTAGCGTATAAAGACCTTGTGGAAGGGTCAGCTTCCTGAATAAAACGGAACACCTGATTTACTCTGTTTATGCTTTAGACTGTCTGTCTCTTCTCAAGACCGGATCCTATTTCTGCATAGATATTCCAGCAGGCATCTTGATGATATGAGACATAAGTAGATTTCCTTCTGCCTACTGTATAAGGAAGAAAGCTCTCTGAAACTTATCTTTGATAGTCAGCTGTTTTCTGTTAGAATGACATGAATATTTAAACTTTACTGATAGACTGAGAAGTAAATCCCAGCTGTATTTTCCCGTTTGGGCTGATAACTGATAAGAAGACTTAGAGTTAAAACTTGAACGTTGTGAGCTCGTAAAATGGAGTAGAGCAAGTCTTATTTGAACTGTATGATGCTCGAGTAGTTTTGAATGCATCTATAAATCGTTATGTAGGGTAACTTCAGCAATGTATGGCAGAACAGTTAATGGTCTAGATGGTCAGAGGCTGTTGTCTGATGCTGTTTCATCTTCCATTGGTCTGGAAGACCTTAAGGAAATCTTCTAAAACTTGATGATTGTCAGAATAGAACAAGCATCTCTAATTCTACCTCTAAGGCATAACATTTCAGAGTTGGTCAAGGGCATATAAAGTATTAGGTTCCTTTTGGGAGGCTTATGGAAAACCTCACTGCCTTATTATGCTTTTCATTCCAGGTTAGGCATGGCTGTGATTCAACCTGTTGGGGGTCAGGACCAAGTGGGTGCTTACAGACTCTTCTTCATAGAGCTATTGATGAAAACAGTGAACAAATAGCATGCTTTCTTATTCGCAGGTCAGACCCTTTCCTACAATACAACTTTCCGATATAAAAGTACATAATTTTCCTTGTTTAAACCAAATGAATGCTATTTTAAGCCAAGAGCAGGTATGTGCTTCATAACTTCTTACTCAGTGAATGGCACATACGGAAGCTTGGCTAACCTTAGACACATTTTAATGTCATCAAGAACATGATGCTAGTTTAGATAAGAGTCTCTTTAGGAATTTATATTTACATAGAATGTGTCAGATGCTGGATCAGCTCTTTAAAAAATCTGAGCCTTTTTTGGAACCACTTCAGCCTGGATTGAGCATGTGTTAACTTGGACTCTCCTGCTTTCCTCTAGTGGTTGTGATGTGAATAGCCCCAGAAAGCCAGGCCCTAATGGAGAAGGGGAGGAAGAAGCTCATGATGGACAGACTCCCCTGCACTTGGCAGCCTGCTGGGGGCTGGAAGAGGTGATTCAGTGCCTTCTGGAGTTTGGTGCCAATGTCAATGCTCAGGTATGTAGAGAAATAGTGGATAGTTTCTTTTGAGGTTAATTTTCTGTATTGAATGTAGTGAAACCAGATTTCCATCTCAGTGGTGGTTTTTTACTTGACCAAAAAAAAAAAAAAATGTGTATATTTATGACTGAGTCGGTACAATGTTTGGCTGCAGTTTTGTGGTTTCTTATCTGTCCATATGGTGGGTTAATTCAGGAGCTATACTGGCAGGAAAATACTGATACAAAAAAACTTCTTGATGTGTTAGCTTACCGTTGACATAGTACTTTGATACTCTCCTTATATTATATTTCTTGGTCCTTGGTGTGAATTAGGGAAGGGACCAGAACTGTCTTCTGCAGCAATTAACGATTAAAGTCGACTATAGTATAAAATAGCAGAATGCTCTTAAGTTGTTGGCATGTTTGAGAGATGTCTTCTGTCATTGAGCATACTGGGATAAGTAATTTGAGTTGCACTTGATAGTTTTTGGATTATGTAGTAATTTTTGAATAGAAGCTTGAAAATAGCAACAGGAGAAATAAACATACAGGATCTTTAGGTCTTACTGCTAGTTAAAGTCATAACTTCAAAACTGCACCATGAAGTTAGGCTGTAGACTGCTGCTTGCAATGGACAGCTGATGAAGCCTTATCCAAATTTGAGCTTTAATACATGCATGTTTTGCAAGCAGTATATCTGACACGTTGTGCTACTTAATAAGCCAACTTGTAAATGTTTAGCTCTTTCCAGAAGAATCTAGCGCTAGTACCTGAGAGTCAGGCTAGGCAAGTAGCACTGCTGAGATACTGTTTAACTCTATGGGTCCTTACCCTTGTAAGGGGCTCAAAACTGTGTAGCACAGTGGACTGAGGTCTGACTGTTTAAGAGAAATGACTACAGCGTTGTAATGGGAGCTCACATTGTGATACAATGAAAATGTCCCTTGTCCTAGCAGAAGACTATCAGGTAGGTCACAGAATTAAACTAAAAAGCTTGCCTTATACCTCAGATGGGGAAGGATTTGTGTTGTACTGCATCTTCATAAAGTGAACTTTGTGGCTTCCTTCTAGGATGCAGAAGGGAGAACTCCAATCCATGTTGCCATTAGCAACCAACATAATGTTATCATCCAGCTAATGATTTCACATCCAGAAATAAAGCTCAATGTGCGTGACAGGCAAGGAATGACCCCCTTTGCATGTGCTATGACTTATAAAAACAACAAGGCAGCAGAAGCAATTCTGAAGAGGGAGCCAGGAGCTGCTGAACAGGTAAAGGTAGAGGGAGTAAATATCTGTAAGTGGAGATGGGTTCTACTGCATTAACCGCTTGCTGCTCTGCAAAAGTTATATCAGTGTTTCATGTCACATGCCCTTTCTGCCACAGGTTGATAATAAAGGTCGGAATTTCCTTCATGTAGCTGTTCAAAACTCTGACATCGAGAGTGTGCTGTTCCTGATAAGTGTCCAGGCCAACGTCAACTCTCGAGTCCAGGATGCCTCAAAACTAACACCTCTCCACCTGGCTGTACAAGCTGGCTCAGAGATCATTGTGCGTAATCTGGTATGTACTGGAGAGTTTTTCTTTGCTTAGAAATCCACATTGATAAATCTTAATGCTGATTGCCTACAGACTGGAGAAGTCTGTTCAAGCTGATGCTCCTTTGTCTGAACAGGACCTTAAACTTCCATAAAGTTACCTTGGCTCAGACTGAGCTGCGGCAGTAGCCTTCATATAAGCATACCTGGCTCACAGCAGTCACTGGGTAGTGCAACTTAGTTGACTTTGCATTCAGCACAGACGGGAAGATGTACAAAAGCTGAAGTAGCTCAGTAACAATAGCTTTATGTACCTATTGGCCAGACACTTGGAAGTATCTCTGTACAGTGAAGTCTTGTGTACTTCATTTATAGGACTATTAGCCAAGAGTTCATGTTTGAAACACATTCTTGAAGACCTTCTTTCTTGCATCTTGACAGCTGCTTGCAGGCGCCCAGGTCAATGAACTGACTAAGCATCGTCAGACAGCGCTCCACTTAGCAGCCCAGCAAGACTTGCCCACAATTTGTTCAGTTCTTTTGGAGAATGGAGTAGACTTTGCAGCTGTGGATGAAAATGGAAACAACGGTAAACTAGTAAAGTTTTTCAAGTAGGTCTGTATATGTAACCACTGCAGTAGGCCTACTCATAGTGTCCTGTAGTGGTAGAGACTGGCCGTTGAAAGGGCTCGCTCTATAAAGACAGAGAAAAAAAAATCCAGAAAATCAAAGCTGGAGGAGGGAGTTCTAGAGATGGACAAGGAAGGTGGAGAAATAAAAAGGGAGTGCTTAAGTTTATCAAGTGACAGTTATTGCTGATAACTACTTTAGATTCTTGAAGCTTCTCTTCTACTCCTTTTTCAGCTCTTCATCTAGCAGTGATGCATGGCCGTCTAAACAATATCCGAGTCCTCCTCACTGAGTGCAATGTAGATGCAGAAGCCTTTAATATTAGGTAACTAGTATAGTCTTAACAGACTTAAGGGGGATGGGGGAGAAAGCAATGCATTTTCAAAGTGTGTGCTGCTGTAACTAGATATAGCATGAAAGATGTGGCTTGGATTATAGCATTTTTAGACTAATTTTAGTGATGTGTGCAAACCATGCTTTATCAAAATATAGTAGAAATTAACTTTTTGATACACATTATGTAGCTATATATGATGCCCTTTAAGTTCAATTAGGTATAATATTGTTTAAGTCTGCAACCCAATTTGAAAACAAAGCTGACGGGAGTGGATTAGTCCATTGTAGTGATCTGGGTAATACACTTTTTCCCCTGCAGAGGCCAGTCACCAATGCATATTTTGGGACAATATGGGAAAGATAATGCTGCAGCCATCTGTGAGCTCTTCTTGGAGTGTATGCCAGAGTACCCTCTAGACAAACCTGATGCTGAAGGAAACACAGGTAGGTGACAGTCCATAGCTGTTAAATTTGAATGTCACTTAAATCATTTTAGTTGTGTGTCAGTTTTAAAGCATGGCTAATTGGCAGTATCAGTTAGTTATCAGTTAGTATTAGTAGTACTAATATTAATTAATAATACTAATTAGTATTAATAAGTAGTATTAGTATTAGTTATCAGTATTAGTAATCAATTAGTATTAGCTAACACTAATGAGATGTGGATATTACCATAATACTTCAGAGACTGAAAAATCCTGCTATGCCTTGAGTGAAAGCACAAGACCTACTCTATTTTAGCAGGGAATTGTCTGGCTTTTATTTTTCAGTGCTCCTGTTGGCATATATGAAGGGGAATGCTAACTTGTGCCGTGCAATAGTGAGAGCTGGGGCTCGTCTTGGGGTTAACAATAATCAAGGGGTCAATATCTTCAACTACCAGGTTGCAACAAAGCAGCTTCTCTTTAGGCTATTGGGTAAGTGTTACTTGTTACAGCTGCAAGGTGTCTTAGCTTAGGCTTCTGAGGTACTCAAGTGTAAGAGAACTCCAGGCATTTGGTGCAAAACACTAATTTCAGAGGTGTGGAGCATCTTGTAAATGTCTTATTGCTTGTAAATGTGTTCTTGCTCTGAACGAGGAATGTAAATGCTTGTCTTTTGAGAGAGAACCTGAAAAACTGCCCAGCGCATGTATGAGAGCCCTATCAACCTTGAATGTGTACTTTGGTTTTTTGTTTGTTTTTTTCCGTCATCGTTGTTTGTTTGGGTGAAGATGAGTGTGGAGGATCCTGGTTGATACAGTCTAGTGTGACTTAAAATTACTTTCCTTTAACTTGCTACTGTATATTCCCTGTGGATAGTGTGGGATTGATAAAAGCTGTAAGGTTTTCATATGAACAAAACGGCAGTTACTGCAGCTGTAGCTAAATGAATTATACAGAATGACACCTAAAACTGCATAAAAACTGTCCTTAATGCTAATGTGCTTCTTCGGGTGCCAGAATCTATTTTGCCTTTATACTTTGCATCTAACAGATATGCTGACAAAAGAACCTCCCTGGTGTGATGGCTCCAACTGCTATGAATGCACTGCCAAATTCGGAGTCACAACGAGGAAGCATCACTGGTAATGTATGACACGTCTTGCTGTGCTTACAAGGAGACAGATTCCTTTCCAAATGCAGCAAGGCTTGTTCCTTCTGCTACTTTCAACCACCTCCATGTTAACATAGGTGCATGACTGGTAACCTAGCTGAAACATTCCACCTTGCCTGCTTGTTAGAGCAGTAATAAGCTGTTAGAAAAAAGCGGTCTGTGCATCTAGAAAATATTTCAGCCTCGTTGGGAACAGGTAGTAACATCACAATTACAGCATTGGCACAACAGATTCAGAAGCCTGCTACTAGCAGGGGTTGATTTAGTCAAAAGCAAATGATACTTGGACGCTTTCTGCCAATTTAGGTGAGGGTTTCTCTTTGCAGTATGGAAGTAGCTGAAGCTACTGATATCAGTTGCTCCAATGGGTTAGATACTAAGCCAGATTTATTCTTATAACCCAGGTAGGACTATGGTGAGCATTTTGGGTAAATTATGCAAAAGCATTAGTTGAAGTGGTAGCAGGTGACTGTTAGAGAAGTAGCATGTGTTTTTGGTTTGGAATCTAATTCTTGTGTGACAGTTATCAGACAATAAGGAAAAAATGCAGTATTTCAGTGATGCTGTCGTTTATCAGTGAAGATGTGAAACCCTGGTGTTAGCTGTAGCAGTCAACTCACGCTTCATTCTTTCCTACCCTCCTTACATCAACAGCCGACACTGTGGACGTCTGCTCTGCCATAAGTGCTCAACAAAGGAGATTCCCATCATAAAATTTGATCTGAACAAGCCGGTTCGAGTTTGCAACATCTGCTTTGATGTCCTCACTCTGGGAGGAGTCTCCTAGTAAGCTGTGGCAGTGAACGGATTCCTAGTCAGTGCTCCTGACAGCAGCTCTGCTTACAAGCCCTGTGGATGGGGAAGAAGAGGCCTATACATGTCGTCTTCTGAACTAATTAAGGACCCTGTTATGATATATTCCAGTATAAATGATTTTGTATGACTGTAAATGTATTGGGCTGTGATAGACTTCGCTAGGAATTTGAGTGGACCATGGAAGCCAAGTGACAAACAGGAATTTAGACCCTCTTGTAGTGTCAGTGGGGTACAGAAGCTAAAATTGTTCGGCTGGTCTTTAAACCATCATAAAACAGGTATGTCCTTGACATGGTGCTTTGCACTGAGCAACTCTATTAAGTCCTGTTGCTTTCAGGCTGCTTAGTAGAGATGGCATTAAGTTTCAGGGTAACCAGGTATTTTTCTTTGCTTTGTCTTAAATGTTCCCCTTCTCTAGAGAAGACGTCTCGTGAGGCTAGACTGAGCTGTTAAAACCACTGTTGAAAACTTCTTTAAAATGGGGTCTAGTTCTAAGCATAGTTTAAGAATTGTGGCCTTACAACAGAAAGCTTTACAACATCTGATGCAAAGCAGTCAGAATTGCAGATCCACATCTCGATACCTCCTCAATAAATGTCTTATTAGCTTTAGCAAGTTCAGGAAAGTGCAGGATGGTTTTAAGTAGAAAATGCTCTTGCTCATACCTGCTAGACCTATCAAAGGCTTCTTTGTTGCACTTCCCTCTTTATGTTGCTAGTTCTTTGAATTCATGAAACGTGTGTATTAGGGAAAAACAAACAAAGAAGCATAAATGCTTTAGGAGAAGACCTAAGCTTAACATTAAATGGAGAAACACTAAAACCAGTTAAGTAGTCTAACTTGCTATATCCAGCAATAAATGCTGAAGTGTGTTATGAATCACAAGGAAGATTAGGGCTTTCCTTGAATTTAAGGACCTTGGTTAGCTGCTGGGGGAGAGCCAGTCACCCTAGCAGCAGAGCGTGTGCTGCCTGTCTAGATGATCCATTTGGGTCCAGTTTCAGCGGGATTGCCAGTGATCGGGAGCGTTTGTTTGGAGGCTTACTGCTAACATTGAGCATCTGGCCTTGAAGAAAGGATTCTGACTCGCAGTATGATGCCACACTTCTGGACTAAGCTACAGTGTTTAGATGGAGGCTGGCGATGGTCTCTGAAGATGCTGAAACTACAACACCACGTTTTTCAGGTAAAAAGGAGATCACTTTGCTGTTGAACAAGAATATGGTTTGTGTGGAGGCTTCAGTCAGATTTATAGAAATGTGTGTAGGATTAATGCCTTGTTAAGGTTTTACTGATCCTGAGAGGTGAATCTAGTTCAAACTCAACTTAGTGCTCTTCATTGCTACTTCATGAACAACTTGTGTGCATTTGTTTACTGACTGTTATGTGAGGTGTAGAGTAAGGAGCAAAGAGTTCATGATGCACTGCCCTGTTTTGGAATAGGGACTTGTTGATCTTTCTCAAGTGTAAAATGAGATGGCGAGCCAGACGTTACTGCCCTTTAGAGGAGACTTACTTGAAGTTTTGCTCCAAAACTTGTGCAGGAAAACTTTGGGAGATGGCTTAAAATGCTGACGTTTGCACAATGAACTTCACATTGAGTCTCACTGCACTTTGATCTTCCAAAATGTGTAGATTATAACTGGAATCCTGAACTTTGTAACACTAGTGAAGAATAACGGATGACGCTAAATACAAATTTGCCTCATTGTTCAATGTCTGCTGTTCCAACAAAATGCCCCATAACTGGTCACATAACTGGTGTGCTCCTACACCAGCTCCTAACACAAACGGTACATCTGCAGCGTAACTTGATTTGTGGGCTACCTTTTAGGCTTGTTCTAGGCAAATGAGAGGCCGAAAAAATACAGTGTCTAAAGCATTTAATGGCAAACTGCAGCTTAATTTTTGGTAAACAAAATAGATCATGGACGTCATAGTACTTCTAGTCTGTATTTTCTGGTGATTCAAGTTATCATTGACTGTAAGTCTTGGGTAGTGGAAGGTAACTTTAACAAAATGATGGAAAGAGTGTGAGTTGTGGTCAGCCCTATTTTGAGAAGTCTTGACTGTTGGGTATCCCATGATAACGTGGTAACTTCTTCATTTGGACCTGCAATCCTGTGTAACTAGAAGACTGAAAGATGCTAGAGGAGTTTTCTTCTAAGGCCACAGCCTGTAGACTTCAACTTAAATGGAAAACTATACAACATGTGAATGCTGAAGCATTTAAACTCTTTTCAGTGACTTTCTAATGGAAGGGGCAAGGGAACAGGGAGCTCAATTTTAGCAGTAGAAGCGGCCTTTTAAAGTAATAATGAAAAAATGCAATCTGAAATTTTAGCTTAACACAAGTTTGACTGATAAGTTTTCTTTTGGAAAGTGAATTATGTATCGTGACTGCCTGAGACTCTCATCTGGGGAAATAAACTTCATGTTCCTGCCTTGCTAAATACAGCCAGTACTACACTAGCTGTATTTTTCTCACTGAACTCTGCAAGGAAAATTAAGGCTATTGATAGAGGCTAATGTGCAGTCTGAAGTGTTCATTAATTCGAAGGAACTAAGTCTAGTAAATTTGATCAACTTAAAGTGCCTTTGAGAGAGTTTCCTTACAGCCAACTCCAAACAGCTTTCTACCAGAATTAAAGAGGAAGAAATTGCAACTTGAACCAAAACTCTCCTTCTCTTCTAGTTATTATTTCACCTGAAGAGGTTGATTTGCAGCAGCACCGTTGGTGGGGAGCCCTCCCTTGTGCTCTCTGCTGCCACAGGCAGGAGATCTTGGTCGTCTGGGGTTCTTGGGGAGTTTTTCTGGCAACGCCTCTTGCAGAGCACAAACGTGAATGGAGGCACTTGGTAATAGAGTGGTGGTCAACACATTTCTAACTATATAAAAAAGATGCACTTCCTTTTCTGTAGCGTTGTGACCAAAACGTCCCCCCCTCTTGCCCCTGGAGCAGCGTGCGTCACCGTGGGACGAGCGTTGCTCACGGGGGCAAGAGGGAAACGAAGTGTCTTCCTGTGCAGGGAAAGTGCTGCTGTGGGGCTGGGCTGCGGGCGCTTCCGCAGGGCTCTGCCCAGAGGCTCTGGTAGCTCCTACGGTAGCTTCTTGTTCCAAGACTGCATTTCTTTTGAGTTCGTCATTCAGCACTTGTACACAAGCACAAAACGCGGTCTGGCTTAAGGTTTATTTCATGTATCTGCTCGAGGAAGTTGTAATCACCGCTTCACACCACTAAGAGAATGTTGCTGTTAAAGGTACTAATAGAGCGTTACATGTTGCTTGCTAAAAGCTGACAGATGCCTTAATGACTTTGTGTTCTGGAGATGTCTGACCTGTACAACTCACATAGTGCATGTAAACTAACATGTAAGAGCAGGGGAGGCCCAGGCTGGATCTTTGCTGCAGATCAAACGTGGTAAGAGGGAAGTCTCAATTTCTTAACAGCAGGGTTGGATATTGAAGCAAACTCGATAATATCAAAGCTTATTCTGAGTGATGATAAATAACTCTGAACCTTCTAATACATTCTGTGAAATAGAGAAGGAAGTCTTAGAACAATGGCATTTTATCTGCAATGTTTGTCCGAAGTCATTGTAAAAAAATGTATTTTTCCAATATGCATTACTTTGTTGTGTAATGATTATACTTGTAATAAAATGCATAATGAGATAATGCATCGTGATGTGAAAACACTGGAGCTTCTTTACACCAGTTGTGCAAGAGGGCTGCCCCCTCCCCAGCTAGCTTTATGAAGGCTTAAAGCAAACTGGGATTACAGACGATGGGGCATTACATCTGTTCTGTGATTATTCTAGATTATTCTGTGGTTATTCTAGATACTCAATCTCTACACACCCTTGGGTGCCTCTGGCTTTATAAATGGGCCGGCTGAGCTGAATTCACTTAAATAACAAACTGTCTTGTGTTGCACCGAGTAGCAGGTAATCTACGCTCCAGGAAGAGTATGGAACTGCTGCAGCTTTACTTCAAAGAAAGAAAGGCTTTGGTGCAATGTTGGGATTATTAAGGTCTGGCTAATAGAGTGAACTGTGAGTATCAGTGGAGCACTTAATTGATCTGCTCCTTGCTTACTCTGGGGAGAAGTCAGCTTAGTTTTTTAATTAGGACAGTAAAAGTGAGACAATCTTTGACCAGAGTAGGGCAGTCTCCTTGTTTGCTTTAATGGATGATTTCTTCCTGCTGATAGATGAGACTTTTTAGTATTGGGGCAAGGAGCAGGGGACTTAGAATTTCAAGTCACAACTTCTTCATCTAACTCAAAGCAACGAGTGACAGTAAGATCAGTGTTAGCTTCCACTAGCCCCACACTTGGGTTTGTGCTGCTCTTTAGCTGTCAACCCCCTCCCAGCAGCAGTTCAGCACTGTTTGCATAGGGAAGAACAGCCTTTGCAGCTGCAACTTACATTAGATACAGGGAGTAGCTTTTGAGCTGTTTTTAAAAACACTGGACCTGTTAAAAGAGTTACTGTGCTTTTATGGTGTTCCCTGTAGCACTCCTACTGAATTACGAGGGGCAAGCAGGGGAGGAGGGTGTGTGCACCAGATGAGGGGAATTTTTATGGTGCTTGCTAAGGAGCCCAGGCAAAGCAGCACTGTGCCCTTTTTAAGAGTAAGCTGCTCATTTAGAGGATATTCCAAGGATGGCACCTGCCTAAGGCTCAGTGTAGTGCTAGAAGCCTCAGTGAGGGCTTGGCCACTGTGTGAAGACTCTGTGCTGCCACACATCTACTTGGACAACTTCCAGCTGTGGCAGGCAAGACCCACCCTTTTGGCCACCAAGTACTTTGGAGGAATCTTCCTTAGCGTACAATATGGAGATAACAACAAAAAATAAGCACCAAAGCAAATTATTTTTAAAAAAAAGTTTATTCCAGTAAGCACAGACACACATTCAAGTTGCTGCAGGATCCTGGGCCAAGGCAGCTGTAGACTCATCCTTCAAAACACTGCAGGGATGAAATGCTGGGGCCTCTACCTACAGTCAGTGCAGGGCAGTGATTGCCCTAGCTCTGCGGCGTGCCATGCCTTTTTTAATAATTGCTTATTAGCTCATTGCTTAGATCTGTGAATATTTTTTTCAGATGATGAGAGGCAGAAATAGCTCAGAACTCCTAAGGGGCTTTAGAAGGATCTCTTGGTTCATAAATAGGAGGTTGTCACTTTAGGAAGAGGACCTGAACACAACTCAGCACAGAACCGTGGCAGAGCTGGACCACGTATTTAGCAACAGACTCAAGGAAAACAGAAAACCTGGTGCTGCCTGGTTTATAGCATGTGGGCCCTGATGGACACGTATCGGATTGAGGACAGAGAAAGATGTCATAAACCAGCAGAGAAATAGGAATAAGAGGGAGATTGCAGCAGGGTGGTTGTGCGGTTGCACAGCTTTATCATTACAGTCTAATTAAAACAATCAATTCTTGACCTCTGAGTCATTTGAAAGTAGTAAATCAATCCGAGGACCAGGAGGGCGAGGTTTGTGGAAAATAGCAATCTTCACTGGTACCTTCTGATATCTTCTTTGCTCAACATCTACTTCAAATATCAAACAAGGAAATGCAGCTATGACCTTTGCCTTCTGTACTCCAAGAACATGATAGCAGAGCTTTTGTATAACTAAACTCCACCAGATCTTAGATACTCCAAACCTTCATTGCAGGAGAAATCCAGGCTTCTCCCCTGCTACCTTTAAGCTCTTCAGAGCAAAGCAGGTGATAAGGAAGGAGCGTTATCACTGTGCTGTAGGAAGCAGAGCCTGAGTGACAGGGGAGCGCTGTGTAAAAGCTGAAGTCAATGATGCTGCAGTAATTCTTGTGCTCAGCAACTCATTTCCTTAAAATACAGCATGTAATACCACTATGCATACAGGCATCTATTTCCTGACTGCATACAACATCGATTTTTAAAGCCAGTCCAGGCTACATATACTACAATTTATCTCCAGATGTGAAAACAGCATAAGAATAAAGCCATATTTTTATGGTGTAAAATACCACAGGGATTTTCTCTAGGAAAGTAAATTTCCCAATGCTCATTTTTAGCAGTTATCTACAAGATTTAGCTAAAAGTGTTCCCTCTTCCTCTCAGCTCCATTGTCATGTGTGAAATCCAGTTATGAAGACCTTGGAATTGCTCTCTCCCCTTGCGTGGGCAAATGGAAGGTGGCAGGGAGCGCAGCGGGAGCTGCAGCAGGATTTGGTGCCCGCGTCCAGCGCTCCGGTCACACTTTCAGGACGCACCACTCAGCCTGGGGATGGCAGCCTTCGTATTCCTCCAGATGGGGGTCATCCAGATCTCCTCTGTCCCGGTGCTCAGGTGCATCCAGCTCTCCGGACGGGGGACCAGTAGCTCTCACGCACACGCAGCGGCTCCCTCTTGATCCAGGCGTGTAGAGTTTCCGGGGCACTCCAACCCACTCCCTGCTTACGCCACCACTAAGAGCAGAAAAAAAGTAAAAATCAATTCAGATGACAGTTTCCAAAATGGGAAAATCCCTGTAGTGAATACAGGCTCAGGTAGTTACATGGCAGTCTCAGAAAGCCAGAACACACTGAAAAAGAATTTACTCCTAATGGCCACCATGCCCTTGCTGTCTGATGCACTGCTGCTGGCTGCACTGCAGCAACCTGCAGCCGCTCTCGTCAGGGATGCTCCTACCGCTCGCTCTTCCTGGAGCGGCCACCTTCCATATCCACCATTCCTGCTCCTGGAAGAAGAGTCAAAGCTCTGCAGAGCACAGCCTGCGAGTGGCAAGATGCCTGTTTCTGGGGAGTAACTGCTCCCAGTAATACATGCTGCCTTATGTGCCAAAGCACTGGGGCAAAAAGAAAGGAAGTCTTAATTCATTGAGACTATTCCATAATGTCTCTTAAGGCACCAAATCTGTGCCTCTAACCATTGCACCTTTAACACAGGCATAAGAGCAGAGAGGCAGAGTTCACCTCTGCTTGGAGCACCAGAAGCGGCTGCCCACGGCAGAGCTCCACTCCGAGTTGCAGGGTGGAAACTGCTGCTTCCTCTGGTCGCTTTCTGCCTTCAGCCTCAGGCCTTCCTCAATAGCAGCCTCCGCCTGCCTTAAGGCTTCTGTCGGTGCTCCGTTTTCATCATAGTATCTGCCCACGAGCTTTCCTTGGAGAGAAGGAGAAGATCAGTTAAGACTGCAATGTTTCTAGGCAAGGAAAATGACTAGTTCTGCTTTTGTATTATTTAAAGGCAAAGAAACAGGAGTCTTCTAGAGCATCTTTGTTGTGTCCCAGCTTAAAAAGAGTTCCCCTTAAGAAAGGTTTATGTCCTCTTGGACCACACAGTCAGAACACGCTCTGGCACAAGCACATGCCAACGACTCGGTAAGGATCACAAAGCCACTGGCACTCGCAGAGCCCAGAAGCGTTTCCAGCACGTGCTGCCCATTGCCCACACCGTGCCCCGCTGCTCCGGCACAGCCCCCGGAGCGCAGGGGAGCACTCACCCACCGGGACGTAGTTGCTGCGGTAGAAGGCGAGCCAGCGGCGCAGCGCGAGCGTCTGCAGCGGCGGCAGCCCCGACACGTCGTCCACGAGCCCCGCGGGCGAGAAGTCCCCGGTCACAAAGGCCCTGGTGGCGTCTCTGCCTGCGGGACAGGGCCCGTCCCGCTCAGCCCTCCAAGCATCCCCAGCTCGGGGTCTGTCAGGCCCCAGGGACCCCTCCACAACTGGGTCCTGCCCGCCCCAAATGATGCCCCAGGTCTCCTTCAGTCCCCATTAATCCCCCGGCAGACAGCCCTCAGTGACACCCCTCAGCCAGGCCCTGTGGGCCCGCAGGGACCCGCGGCTCCTGTCAGCCCCTCCTGCCCCGCAGCCAAGGCCCTGTCACCCGCAACGATCCCACTAGGGCCCGCTCCGCCCGCGGCCCCGCTACCCGAGAGGCCGCTGTAGGCGCCGCCGGGGCCGTAGTGCCTGCGGCCGCGCTGCACGTCGAACACGCGGCCCAGCAGGGCCAGGTAGAGGCCGGGCTCCCCCGGCGCGCCGCGGTACCGCGCGAGCTCCGCGGCGCGCAGCA